GGTTGCTAGTAATAACCACCAAACTTTGGTAAAAAGACTTTATTTTCTTACTCCCTTCTTTTTTTTTAAGTGCGTTATTTGGTAAAGTTGAAAAATATTTAAAAAAAAAAAAAAAAGGGTAATTAAGTAGTAAGTACTACCACTTAGTTGCAATTAACATCACATTTAAATGTTTGGAATGTTAAACAAAGTCAACATCCATTAAATTTTCTGAATGCTTTCAATAAGTTCATGCAAGGGTTAATTAAAAAAACATGACTGGAGTTAATCAGGTTTTTACGTACTACTAGATCGGTTATCTTTAAATTGCTCATGTTTTTTTAGACAAATACTTAGGGCTAATAGTGTACTTTTTATATTTTATTTTTATTCGATATTCTCTTTCTAAAAATCAACATTGGAACTTTGTAACAAAAGTATACCTTCTATAGGAAAAGGTATTCCACGTGTGAATTGAGGTACTAGCCACTCTTTTTTTTTTTTTTTTTTTAAAAAAAAAAATTCTAAAGAGATACAGAGGAGAAAGATAGTAAGAATTTAACCCCTGAACTCAGTGGATCATCTTTACTCTTGGATATTGACATCTCCTTCATCTTAATACCTTTTCGTATTGTGAATTGATGATGTTTATGACCATTTATTTGGACCTTTTTTTTTGCAAGTCAAGTCCTTTAAAATGGGTAATGTTTGGAAATAAATAAAATAAAATAAAATAAAAAAACCAAATACCCAGGTTCTTTACCTTTTTTTTTGCCAGATCTACTTGGTTTCCTAAATAAAAAAATTATGATTGAGTACTTACTTGATGGGCTAAGATTGACCCTTGGTGAACAATCTCACCAATAAGTTTTATAGTTGAAGTGAAGATGATTCAGTCTTTGTTTTACCAAACAGATTAAGCGACCGTTATATAAGGCAGAGAAAAAAAAAGAACCCCCCCCCTCCCCCCAAAGTATTTTATTATTTTCAAGGGTCGCTTAATTTTAATATTAAAGAGACGACGTCAGTTATATAAAACTAAACATTTTAATATCGCATAAAGATTGATTGATTAATTAATAAACTGGACCTTCGTTACTGATAACGGGAGCCTATTTGTGGTGTTTAACTAAGTTTACTAACTTGATCGCTAAAAAAAAAGATTTGACATTTAAGTTAGTAGGTAGACATTTTCTGGTAACAAAATAACAAAATAAAAATTCGCTTATCTCTTATTTTTTTTCTTTTATCCCCCTTAATAATAATAATATTATTATTATTGTTATTATTTTTTTTCCTCTTTATCACTTTACAATCGATTCTAAGGTTGTCATGGCTTCCAAGTTTCTAATAGTCTTTTAATGATCAAGAACTCTTTGATTTTTTTAATATTATGATTGTATATTGTATATATAATAACAATAATAATGGGTGCCACTCCATTTTATAATTTCTATTACCATTTGCTTCAATTACAACAACTACTTGGTTATCTAGAATTTTGCCGCCAAATCGGATCAGCAAAGTATATCTATATATTTTTATATATATTTTGTAATGTAATTGTGTATTTCTTCCTTAGACAATCATTCATTCATTCCATTTAATTAATAATATTATTTCCTTAATTACATGTAAACAAATAGATTTAAAAAAAAAAAAATCCCGGCCAAGTAATTGACTTACTTAAAACTCTCATAATCATTAAAGCATTTATGCACATTTCTTTGAAACTGAAATGTAATAGCTTGAAATGCTTGAAATGTTTGAAATAAAATGAAATAAAAAATAAAAATACCAAAATGATGGAATTCTTTTTTTTTTTTTTTTTTTTTTGGTCTCAATAATTTTTTAACTATTGTATATAATTTTTTTATCGCTATTAACCATTTGTTAAACTTAGTGTGGATTTTTAGTTGGACTTCGGTTTTTTTTTATTGCCAGGTAATAATGATAATGATAATGATAATAATAATAATAATAATAATAATAATAATAATAATAATAATAATAATAATAATAATAATAATAATAATAATAATAATAATAATAATAATAATAATAATAATAATAATAATAATAATAATAATAATAATAATAATAATAATAATAATAATAAATAATATTCAATTCTTTTTATCTAATTTAATTACCAACTAACAACCGTTGGCTACAAAATAAAAACTAATTCTTCTTCTTTTTCTTCTTATTCAAGAACTTTTTGTTTGGTATCCATTTCTATGACTATTTTTATCATAATGGTTTATCATAAAAAAAAAAAAAACAGGGTCTTTTTTTTTAACTATTAAAACTACTACTACTACTACTACTACTACTACTACTACTACTACTACTACTACTACTACTACTATCACTATCACTATCACTATCACTATCACCACTACCCCCTCTTTACCAGCTTTCCTTGGACTACAAAATCAGGACTTAATTAAATTTTTTGTATAGTTTTAAAAGGGGTCCGTCCGTTTAAGTCTCCACTGCTGCTACCACCAATAACTTCCTGTCTTCTCTCTCTTCTCCTTGCCCCGTTTATCCACTTTTTTTTTTTTTTTTTTTTTGCCATGCACTGTGGGTCCCACGGGGTCCCTCTCCATTCTCTCTTTTACCTTTGTGATATGTATATATATGTATGTATTTTTTTTGTGGACGCCAAAATAATAAGGAATTTTGTTTTTTAAAAATAAATAAAATAAGGTGTCCTTTGGACAGGCGCTTGTTAATAGTATTTTTTTTCATTTAATATAATTGTGATAGATATATATATTAATTTTTCCAAAAACATCTTCAAGCATAGATTCATATTTATAATTCAAAAAGTAAAAAAAAATAAAATAAAATAAAATAAAAATTAAAACCGATTGTGTGTGTGTGTTTTTTTTTATTTGTTTGGATATTACTATCATTGGCTGGTTGTTGTGGCTTTTAAATTTTAAAAATACATGTAATACAAACTTTACATGTTGCATTATCCCAGATATTACCACATAAATTATTTACCCATACTATTTTTAGAAGCTTACGCACTGTTTAAACTTGAAAAAAAAAATCCAGGAACGGTATGGTACCCAAAAATATTAACATTTCGTTTTTTTTATTGTATAATTATAGGTACCTTGTGGGACCGCCTGCCTGTTTTAGGTAACCGAGTGCGCGCGCCTTTTTATTTTCTTTTCATTAATGATAATAATCAATATTTATGAATAGTGATGTTATATCTGCATAATGCGTATTTCCTCATCGGGTAATTTGTTTCTGCTTGTTTGTTATTTTTGTTTTTCTCTCGTTTCTCATGAAATTTTTCACTTCAAAATAAAAGACTTTGGGGTTCATATTTTTTTTTTTTTTTTTTCAAATAAATAAATTTTTTAAATTTAACAACCAAATTCAATTTTAAAAATAAGAGTTTGTTGTTGTTTTTCTTGTTGTTCCCATAGTTCTCTTTTCAAATTTTCAATTCCATTTTCAATTCCAATTTTTAAATAGTTTTCAATGTATAATAACCATGGTATTTGACAATATTTAAAAATATTTAAAAAACATTTTAATGTTTATTTGTTTTGTTTTGTTTTTTTTAACTCGTAAGTCACAAATACCATCTTGTAAAAAAAAATCTCTTTCCAAAAATCAAACCATTTTTTTCTTCAATTAAACAAAACAAAACAAAACAAAACAAAAAAAAATATTTTCATCAGCTAACATTCCTATTCTTGATTTGATTTTATTTTATTTTATTATTATATTTTATTTATTTTATGAACTTTTTTTCACTCATACAAAAACAAAAACAAAACAAAACTCGCAATCACCACTTACTTGCGTGCCACATGTTGATGCAAGGGCACGCCGTGGCGCCCACTTTGCACGTGTAGAGACTTGGGTTGTTTTTTTTTTATTAAACCTCTCTCTCTTTCTCTTCTATATATATATATATACCTTCTCGGTATTAACAGCACCATCAACTACATAGCTCGGTGCCTGTTGCTTGACTGATGTTCCTGCTGCAGACAACTTGCGCGTGTTCAAAAGTGGGTCCCACACACGGCGGGTCTTTCCTAGTCCATGTATACAATTGTTATATGTATATGTGTCTAAGCTTACTAGTTCTAAGTCTCTTTTGCTTCTATTTCACATCCTTCCTCGTCTTGTTAGTCCCCTTTTTTTTTTTTTTTTTTTTTTTTAAAGCGTCCCACATTGCGGGTCTTGAGGAGTTCTCTTGTATACACTTAGCCATTTATTATTGCCACTAAGTTAAATATATCTATTTGGTTTTGATAGTGTTGGACGTAATATGGTTTTAGTTTTAACAGTTGGTTATTTAATTTCAGTTTGCTTTTTAAAACTAGTCCTATTAAATATATATATATATATATATATATCTGTACATTTAAAAGAAAAAAAAATTTCAAGAGAGATTCGTAAATGGAAAAAAAAAAAAGGTTAAGTATTAAATGTAAGTTTACTACAATTCATGTACATACATCTCTCTGAATTAGACTTCTCTCAAATTAAAAAATAATTGAATAAATAAAAGGCTCAGCTTATCGAAAATCTTGTTAATCAAGGTTTATTTTTCACTCTCGTTTAGGTTTCTCTTTTAGGGTTTTTTGTCCACACTATTTGATTTTTTTTAAAAAAATATACCAGATAATAAATAATTGTAGCATAGAGTATTTTATTATAAATTAGAGACATTATAAAAATAAAAAAAAATATACATAAAAGAAAAACAGAGACACACCGCAAGAAAAAAAAATAACATATGGAATATACTAAGAGTGTTGTAGTACAAGAGAGACAAAACCTAGCAAATGGAAGGTAAAGAAAAAGATGAACTTTTATTTATTTATTTTTAAAGAATTAGATTAAGACATTCAAACACCGCCTATAAACTTTCTTTTGGTATATTTTGCCTCCATCCATTTGCACTGCTCAACTGTAACACTCACACTCTTTGGCAATTGGCCTAGTTTCTTTTTTTTGCAACTTTTTTTTTCAACATCTTATGCTTGAGTCGGGTAGTAAGCTCTTTGTGGAACATTGGCATATCTGTAAGAAGTTTGAGGTTGTTGATGTGTAGCACCCATTCCTCCAGTGTTGCCCATGACAGTTGCTGCTGCAGCCATAGAAAATTGTTGGTGTTGTTGCTGCTGCTGTTGTTGCATTTGTTGCTGATGATATTGGTAATGACCATCAGAGCCCGGAGGAGAAGGAGCCGCCGTCATGGGAAAGATTGGCAATTGAGGAGTGGCTGGAAGTTGGGCTGGAGGGTAATGGGTTGTTGCTGAAGGATGATGAGCTGGAGTTGCAGTGTAGTAATGCTGTTGGGATTGGTGGTGTAATGGGAAAGTTTGGTAAGATGAATGAGAGCCTGGAAGAATTGGCGAAGAAGTTGAGGTTGGAGACGCTGAGGAAGGTGAAGAAAGGGAAGATGATGATGAAGACGATGAAGATGATGATGATGATGATGATGAAAGAGAAGGAGCAGGGCCTGGGATATTTGCAGTTGAGGGTGAAATGCCAGCATGTCTCGCAATCATAGGAGGAGGAACCTGTTGTTGTTGTTGTTGTTGTTGTTGTTGTTGTCCCGGTGTGACATGATGAGTATAGATACCTGGAGCAGGCTTTGGTGGAGACGGGATAGGACCTGGGGGAGTAAGTGCAGCTGGGAGTGGAGGTAATGGGGCATGTAAGGGAGGTTGCTGTTGATGATGATAGGTATTGTGATGGTTGTAGAGAGCAATTGCTGGAGAAGTGGCTGACGCTGGGTCTTTGGATGCCATGAATTGTTGCTGATGGTGTTGGTGTTGGACGGGGACCTGCCCCGAAACTTGGTGGTGGTGGTGGTGATGATGATGATGTTGTTGTTGTTGTTGTTGTTGTTGTTGTTGTTGATGCTGTTGCTGTTGTTGTGTAAAGTAAGGTTGTTGACCTATGTTAGCTGTAGCCACTTGTGGATAGACACCTGGGAAGACAGGTTCTGGGGCATAGATGTGATTTTGTTGAGGTAGTATAGGAGCGGATTGTAAAGATGAATTTGGAGTTGAGGATGTCGATTGAAGATTTTGGGCATGTTGCGGAGTTGTAGTTGTTGATGATGGTGATGAAAGAGATGGTGATGTTATTGTTGTTGGTACAATTCGTTTGGGGACTCTCGAGATAGCTGCACATTTGCCTGTTGCTGTGAATTTCTGAAGACACCGGGCATAATGGCGCTTGAGTATGTCTGAGCGACAAAAGGTATCTTGACAAATGGAGCAGACATGGGGGCGAGAGCCGGTGTGTTTCATAAAATGACGTTTGAGGTGCTTAAAATGAAGATAGGAGCGGTCACAGTGGACACATTGGTACCGTTCTGCTGCATTTTTGAAGGACTCGACGTACTCGGGTGGTGGGCCGGTCCGTGTTGTTCGTCTGAGAGGTTGTTCGTAGTTCATTGTGTGAAAAGTTTGAATGTTAAGATAAAAGAATGTAAATAGATGAATGAATAAATAAAAAAAAGTAAAGGAAAGTTCAAGGAAATACGAGGTATTATATATATATAATGGAGAATATATATATTTAAGATATAATTATATAAAAGAAGAGAGGAGTAATATATATATAATATAATAAATGTAGATAATGATAAAATACAAAAATAGGTAGAGAAAGGACTTAAAGATATATATATATATATATTCTGGGGTTATTAAAGATGGTGTATTAATAGAGGAGAGTTAAGAGAAGATAAATTTAAAGGCCCTTTTTTTTGCCCAAATGAGACAAGGTGCAGCAAAAAGTAATAGTAGGTAGTAGTAGTCGTAGTCGTAGTAATAGAAAAATATATTAGTAGTACTAATAGTAGTACTAGTAATAGTAGTAGTAATAGTAAGACAGGTACCAAAGTATATAAAAATAAAAAATAAAAAATAAAATAAAAAAAAAAAAAAAAAAAAAAATAAAAAATAAAAATAAAAGTTATATAATAAATATAAAATATTATTATGAAATCAATCTCTTTTCTCTCACTTTATATTATTTTTTTATATTTATTTATTTATTTATTTATTTATTTATTTATTTATTTATTTATTTATTTATTTATTTACTCAGTCAAGTTTTGATTTCCATATATTTATATTTATATAATTAAATTATTTCTGTAATTTGTGTGTGTGTGTGCCTAAAAGCCTTTTTGTTCTCTCCAATAGCAGCCAGCGTTGCCAAACAGTGCAAACTCAGACATTGCGAATAATTATTTTACAATCACGAACAAACAACCCAGAACATAATTATTATTATAATAATTATAATAATTATAATTAAGTATACTATTAAAGGCCATATTAAAGTATAGTACTATATATATTAATCATTACACCACTTGTCTTTTTCTTTTTTTTTTTATTATTTTTTCATTGGATCAAGTCTGGATCTTTTTTTTTAATATGACCTTTATCCCTTATGCCGGTTGAACAATGTAATTCTTTTCCATACAATACAACGTATACCGTACCAGTCGCCTGAGGTCGTCCAGCGACGCCGGGTCGACTGCCTCGAAGAGTACGGCCGTTCGGTGCGGCAAGTAGTTACTTAAAAATAGAGCCTTTTCGTCTCTAGTAAAGCATGGCATATCGTCAATCGCCCGTAGAAATGACACTCGTTCCTGTTGCTGATGCTGCTGTTGTTGTTGTTGCTGTTGCTGCTGCTGCTGCTGCTGCTGTGGTAATGGCTGTACAGGAAACATGGTCGAAGAAGAAGAGCCTAGTACAGACGGTGAAGATGACGATAAGACAGAAACAGAAGATGGCGGAGGAGGAACAGGAGGTGGTGGTTGAGGAAGTGGCAGAGGAGGGGGGGTAGCATGTTGTTGGAGAGCAGCCTGTATAGAAGAAGTAGAAGAAGATAATGGCAGTGGTGGAGGTAGAGGTGGATGTTTCTGATGATGATGATGGTGCTGCTGTTGCTGTTGCTGTTGCTGTTGCTGTTGCTGTTGCTGTTGCTGTTGATGTTGATGTTGCTGTTGCTGTTGCTGTTGATGTTGATGTTGATGTTGCTGTTGATGTTGCTGTTGCTGCGGTTGTGAGATATGTTGTGGTTGTAGAGGAAGCTGCTGGTGGTTCTGGGTTGTAGTTTCTGAGTACATGTATGGGGCCAATGGTTTTTGTGGCCACCATGCGGAATTATTGTTGTTGGTGTTGTTAAGACTTAGACTTTTTTTGGACTCTTCTCTAGGAGTGGGTTGTTGGGATGAAGGAGTGCCATCATTACTTGGGGTTGGCATGGCTGACGATGCAGCAGTTGGATGGCCTTGAGGAGAATGGAAAGAGCTCGGGGGTCCCAGACCCAGATCATAAAGTTGTTGTTGTTGTGAGACCTGGGCTTTTGGTGATATTTCCGAGTCAAGAGGAGAGTCGAGGTCATCCGGCGTGACTGTTGAACCTTCAGGTTTTTGTTGGAGAAGAGCCGAGGAAGAAGAAGATGTTGATGATGATGATGATGATGAAGGTGGCTGTTTAAGTTTGTTATTATTATTATTATTATTATTATTATTATTATTATTATTATTATTATTATTATTATTATTATTATTATTATTATTATTATTGTTGTTGTTGTTGTTGTTGTTGTGGTTGTTACTACCACCACCACCATTATTTGTATTAGAATGTACTCTCTTGAGATCCAGCTCTTTGAGAAAAGAATAGTGGGGATACGGTGCACGAAGTTTTTCCGCGATATCCGGGGCCAAATGGATATTTGCTTGGATAAAGTCGTTTCGAGCTTCTTCCGACGGGAAGTTGATTGTTCCATCGAGTTCATTAATTTCGTAACCGTTTTTGATAACGGCAGAGTTGTAAATGCGGAAAACCTTTTTTTGATTTTTGAACCAGTGTGTAAAGTTGTCTTTGGTACCCGAGTCCAGATTGTGCTGTCGGTGTACGTCGCACCATACGCTGAAGAACGCTCGAGCGAGATCGTCATCGATGGTCCACTTGTGGGATGCGCGTAGTTCTAGAACCATGCGAGCCAAGATGTCTTTGGCCATGGCTTGACTGACTGGTTTTTTCCTTGGCCGTTTTTTCGGAGGCATATTTGGCTGTTGCCCTTGACTATTTGAGCTAGATAGAGAAGTGCGTTTTTTATGTCTTGATAGGAAGCTTTGCTGGGTTGATGACGATGAGGACTGAGGAAGGCCTTGTGCTTGAGAGATTGCAGTGAATCCTCTTGGTTGTTGAAGTGGTTGATGTTGTTGTTGTTGTTGAGGTGGTGGTTGTTGCTGCTGCTGTTGTTGCTGCTGCTGCTGCTGCTGCTCCTGTGGTTGTTGAGACTGTTGTAAAACCATATCTAAACCATCTTCTAAATCCGAGTCTGACCCACCGGCTGTCAACGGGAACCCCATTGAGGGCATATCATACTGGAGAGAGCTGTGAATGTCCATTGGACTTGTTTGTTGAGAGTGCTGTGAAGTTCCAGGAGGACCGTTGGTGGAGCTAAAAGTAGATGATGATGACGAAGATGATGACGAAGATGATGACGAAGATGATGAGACTGATGAGATAGAACAAGGGGTTGGGATTCCTAAAGATGAGAGTTGACTTGCAGAGGAGAGTTGGCGACTAAGACGGTGGTGGTGATTATGGTTAATTAGTCGGTCGTCCATAAAGATTAAGATTGAAAGATAACGAGGACCAAATTAGGTGTGATTGATTTATTGGTAGGTAAGTTTGTATGAGATGATGGTGATTTATAGATGGATATGATTGATATGATAATGATGAGATTGATTAAAAAAAAAAAAAAAAAAAGGAATATATAAGTATTGTTTGTGTGTGCGTGTATTAAAAAAAAATTGTGAAATAAAAAATAAAAAAATAAAAAAATAAAAAAATAAAAAAATAAAAACTTTTAAAAAAAAATTTTTTTTTTAGGAATTTGAAAAACTTTTTTGCCCTGCTTCTTCTCGTGTTTAAGGAATTTTCGAAATAAAGAAGAAAAAGTTTTATTTTCAAAAAAAAAAAAAAAAAAAAAAGTAACCGAAACCGGCGAGAGCGGGATTATCTAGATAATCTGAGTTATTTGATTGGTTTAATTAATCGGATTGAGGGGGGTGGCTTGCACGCGGATTCATTGGGCGATCGTATTGCCGTATTTATTAATTTTTTTTTTATTTTTAACAGAAAAAAAAAATAATGAAATTTTAAAAAATAAAAAAATAAAAATATGAAAATATGAAAATGAAAATGAAAATGAAAATGAAAATGAAAATGAAAGAAATAAAAAAGAAAAAAAGAAAAGAAAAGAAAAGAAACCAAAAGAGCCGAATATTTCAATAGTCAAATGTTTGTTGGTGGTGTGTTTAAATAAATAAATAAATATGTATTTGGTCAGTTTGTCAGTTACAGCCAACAAGTACTTCTTCTATTATATGCTATAAGATATTTTAATCTGGTATAAATTAATTTGTTGTCATATCAAATAAACCTTTCATCTCAATCTTTATTTGTTGTTGTTAACGTACGCGACCAAAAAAAAAAAAAAAGAAAAAAATTTATTTGTTTTGGGAATTTGAAATTCAGACCAAAAGAATAACAAAAAAGTTTTTGGTCATTTCTAAATCAAACAAAGAAAAAAATAAATAAAAATTTCAATTAACTATAATTAATTAATTATTTAAAAAAAAAATTTCAAATTTTTGAATTTTTAACTTTTTAAATTTTTAAAATATCAAAAAAAAAAAAGAAAAATTAAATTAACCAAATTTTTCATCCACAAAGAAGACGAAAATTAACTGATGGATTGTAAAGATATCTTTGAAATTTGGTCTAAATCCAGACTTTTATTAAAAAAAGAAAAAAAAATAGATATTTTAATAAATATATTTATATTTCTACAACCCAATGTTGATTTTAAAAAAAAAAAACATTTTGTCCCATGTCATTTCCTTCTTTTGTTTTTTTTTTAATTTAATTTAATTTAATTTAATATAAATAACCTACATATTTAAGGTTGATTTTAAGTATATTCTTGAAATGCCCACTTCTCATCTCTTCTCACCTTAAAACCGGCTAAAAGTTCCCGGCGCTCACACAAGTTTCTGGTACTTTTTAAAGTAAAAAAAAATAAAAATAAAATTTGAAACCCTAACCACTTGGTATCACGTGATATTTTTTCTTGTTTATATATTATTTATAGGAATAATAATAACAAGTTGACAAGTTGATTACCCGTGTTACTATATAATTTGCAATTAAGTATTTACCTGTGCTACTGCTATTCGTAACTGTTATTCGAATGATGTTTGTATTGTTGGTGTTGACATTTTTTTTCAAAAAATGGTGGCTCGCTACGCTCACATCTAGGCTCTGTTTCCATGAATTTTTTGGGGGTTTACCCTAAAAATGTACAGTATACAGCTTGAAGAAAGAGAAAAAAGAACCGGGTTGGGGGATTACATAAACATAATAGGGCTGCTTAGAAGAAAACCAATTTTTTTTGTGAAATGTAAAGAAGAAAAATAATAAAAATAATAATTGTAAACATTTATTGGATTCGAACCAAAGGTCTTAAATTCTTTAATGGTTTAAAAAAATCATTCCATTTTTTTTTCTTTAATAATAAAAATTAATAACAGTGTGAAAATTAAATCTCACACACATGTCTCACTTTTTTTTTTTTTTTTTTTGTTAAGGGATTTTGATATAGAAACAAAAAATATAAAGTAAATAAAAATAAAAATAAAAATAAAAAAAAGTATCCTAAAAAGTTCCATTCTTCTGTTTATTTTAATAATTCTCCCGAGATGATCTTCTTCAAATAGATAATAATAATAAATATTATTATTCTCATCATCAATATTTGTTATCCCATTGTCTTAATGGCTCTGCTGGAACTATTTTTGCTGGTTGCAGCATTTGGTCTATTCTTTTTGGTGATTGTCAAACCATCCCAAAATGTAAAACCAACAACAACAACAAAATCCACCAAAACTTCTTCTAATAAAAATACCAGTCAACAACAACAACCCTCAAAGAAAAGCTCAAATCATCATACTAACAATCTTAACAAATCAACAACAAAAAACCCATCAAAAAGACCCCCAGCATTGGCAACCCAAGGACTTCCACTCCCATCTCAATCACAAAAACAATACTACCAATATCAAAATAATAATAACCATCCACAAACAAACCCTTCATCCTCCTCTTCTCCATCTGCAAGAACCCTCTTCTCAAACGATACTTCTGCTTCAACTCAACAATCATCTCTCCCTTCTTCATCCAAACAACGATCCTCTTACTCTTCTTCTTCTTCTTCAAAAAAGCGTAGGTCTCGAAATAGTACTTGTACAACAAATAATGATGCCCTGATTATTCCTAAAAAACCTGCAGCTCATCAATCACATGCTCCTGCAGCTTCGGTTCCTGTTCAGGCTCCAACTCAGGTCCCAACTCAGGTCCCAACTCAGGTCCCAATTCAGGCTCCAGTTCAGGTCCCTGCATCTCGCAAATCCACCTACATGCCATCAGGTCCTAACCAAATCAACAATAACAGCAACTACTACTACCCCCCAAGACCAATGTCCACAAGTTACTACTACTACCCATCCCCTCGGATCCCAGTCCCGTCCCAAACTTATCACCAACAACAGCAACAAAAACAATATCAACAATATCAACAATATCCTCCCCATAATGTCTTCCCAAACCCCCCACAGCTCCAACTCCAACAACAAACTCAACTTACTCATAACCCACACTTGTCAGTCTCAAGAAACTTTAAACTTGCTCGCGACCTTTCAAGCGTACCTAGCGATGACTCGGGTGACGATGATGACGATGATGAAGACCTCAGTATTTCAGGTGATCCCTTCCAACCATTGGTAACAGCCCAACAAAATCCTTCATCTTCAGCTCCTACCTGGGATCCCAGCGGTCAACGCCTTCCAGGCCTTTTTGTGCGGCGTGACAACAATCCTCTTCAGCCCCAACCTACTACTAATTTTAATACTAATACCGTACCTCCACCACAAACTACAAACCCTTACCCAACTAAACCCGAATCTGTCCAACAATACCTCTCCAGGCATGCCAGAGACGCCGCGCAGGTCGCTTCGCCTCTAGACAACCTGCTGGCCCAACACTCCAAACACATGCGCCCCCCCTCAGTCCCCAAAATCAACCCTTCAAACGACTTCCCTACCCTCGCAGCCCACGGGCTCTACGTGCACGACGTCGATGGCGATGGGAACTGCCTTTTCCGCGCTCTAAGCGACCAATACTACGGCGATGGCGGTAAACAACATGCTACTGTCCGTGCAACAGCCGTCAACTACATGGCCACGCACCCAGACGAGTTTGTATTTTTTGTGGTTGACGAAACTCTAGACCAGCGACTTAAACGTATGGCCCAACTTGGAGTTTTTGGTGATCAGGCTGAGATTGTGGCCTTTGCTCGGGCCACCAACAGAAATATTACCATCCACCAGCGCGACACGCCTCCGCTCTTGGTGCGGGCCAGCGAGGACGGTGACGAGTCTCGAGAAAGCATGCACATTGCATATCATGCGTGGGAACACTATTCATCAGTCCGTAGAATCGGAGGCCCATACACTGGTGCACCAGAAATCCGCGTGAGGTTCAAACTAGACTCGGGCAATGACCAAGTGCTAACCACACAGCGTGCGCAACGCAAGAAGAATCGAATCGATGACGCTGTACGTATGATTACAGATTCGCTGCCGTATATTGCATCAGAAGCCACTGTACGCCGGCGGTTAGCAGAGCACAATAATGATGCCGATGCGACTTTAGAAACCATGTTGTGCGAAGATCCTGAGGAGGATGAAGAAGAAGAAAAAGAAGAAAAGGGGAATCTGAAACATCAGCAGCAATTTGCAATGCTCAAAGATGATGACCCCGCCATATTGCTTGAAAAACCATTGCCTCCACTTCCTGAAGAGTATCCATCACAACCTCCACCACGGACGTCGTCTCTGGGGGGTAGTAGCAGCGGGCGGAGTAACGGTGGAGCAGCTGGGCAACCGAAGAAGTTAAGTGCACGTGAAAAAAAGGAACGACAAAAGGCAGCTCGCAAAGAACGGCGGAAGCTGGATCAAAGTGGTGGTGGCAATGTTGAGATGAAGAGTAGCCGTGCTCTGGATGATGCTTCGATCCGAGTGATTGCTTTGTAAAGAAAAAAAAAACTGAAAGAGAAAGAGAAAAAAACGAAGGTTATTATGGATTCTTAAGAACATCTCTTTTAAAGGTTTTATGTATTAATAGAAGTGTTTTTTTTATTTTTTGTATGTCTTTTCATAAAATTTATCCATTTTATTTGTGAGGAGAGGGGTCACTAATTAGTGACCGTTTATAAGTCAAAAAGATTTATTTTTATTCCTGCTTTAGAGAGAGTGAGCAATGGATGGATAGCTATGATGGGATTTGTGATTATGATTTATTATTGTTATTATTATTATTATTATTATTATTATTATTATCGGAAACATTTTTGATTTTGTCTTTTTATAATTGGAAAAAAAAAATATAAAATATCAATCAAACGAATAAATTATTACCATTATTGATAATAAATACTATAAAAAAAGACATCAGAATATTCCATTAAATAGACTGCCTTTTACTAAACCCAGCGGTTTCTTTTGTCTGTTGTTGACGTTAATGTTAATAATGTTAATGTTCCATTTAGTCTGGCATTTTGAATATCCTTTGATTTGTTGACTTTTAAACCTCTTTACACGAGTAACCCGATCAAGCGACTAAAATTCTCTTTTGACGGCCCTTTCCATTACTAAATTTCACTTCTACAATACGTTTATCTCGTTTTTTTTTTTCAAGGGGTGACAGGGTCATTTACAGTTGTAAGAGTCATATTAAATTTAAGTTATATTGAAGTTAAATTAAATTTAAATTTAAATAACTGGAGTGTTTTTGCTTTAATTATCAAAAGAGAGACTACACAAGAGTTAATCCATATATATAGTTTTTGTTAAATCAAAACAACCATCTTTATGTCTTCTCAATTGAAATTTTGGATTTTCAAGTCTCATTGTACATTATTAATATATATATAAAATATATAAAAAAAAATAGTCAATCTGCATACCTTTGCTTCTCCTGTCTGTTTTTTTTTTCTTTTTTTTTCTCTCTCTTCATCCCAAAAAAAGAAAGGTGCGCTAGATCGCGTGAAATAGGCGATATTATTATTATTATTATTATTATTATTATTATTATTATTATTATTATTATTATTATTATTATTATTATTATTATTATTATTATTATTATTATTATTATTATTATTATTATTATTATTATTATTATTATTATTATTATTATTATTATTATTATTATTATTATTATTATTATTATTATTATTATTATTATTATTATTATTATTATTATTATTATTATTATTATTATTATTATTATTATTATTATTATTATTATTATTATTATTATTATTATTATTATTATTATTATTATTATCCCATATGGCCAAGCCCTTTTTTGTTGTTTAGATGAAATTTGGGAATTAAGAATTAAGTAAGAAAGAAAAAAAATTTTTTTTTTTTTTTTACAGAATTTTAAGATTTTCAAAATACTTCTTTCTTCTCTTGGCTCAATTTTCCATTTAATCTATCTGGGACCTAAACAGAAAAGGAAAAAAAAAAAAAAAAAAAAAACTTCTAAATGTTCGAACTTAAAAGCGACTACAGACACACACACACACACCGAGATACACAAACATGTTAATTCCTGTGTTTAACCAAAAGAGTACCACAAAGTAATGAAAAGTATGCTTGACAAAAAAAAAATGAAATATATTTTTTTTGATTAAACTCGAAAGATTTTCTTTTCTTTTTCTGGGTGTTTTTTTTTTCTTGCTTTCTCTTCCTTCTCTCCATAATATGTTTGAAAATAAAGAAATAGCATTCCTCGACCAGAGTACATATACTAACTTAATGTTATCCATGACTATCCCTTGGTGGCCCGCATATAGTCCAACTGGTCCAAAGGCTAGAATATGACCGTCATTAGCTTGCACTTGGACTATTCTTCAAAAATTTTACTATGTAAAACCTTATTTTTTTTGAGTTTTTGCTAGTTGGACTATATGCGGGCCACCAAGGGATAATTTCAAGTTTTTCCGAGTCCAGTCCTTAGAAGGTTTCCAAAATACGCCAAACAAACATTGAAACTTTGCCTTATAGGAAAATGAAGATAATATTAATATATATATTTATTACATTCGCTACATGTCTTATTAATATCTATTTCCCTTTAACTATCCATCAAGAATCTATTCCCATCTATCTAATGCTAATTTACTGGCCCAACAATCTTAAAATTATATCTTATATATAGATAACTTTACCAAAACTAAGTTCCCATCCATGGCTACTGTAACACTACTGAATCATATTAGATCCTTCGCTTCCCCTTCCTCCTTACCCTTTCTGCTCGTATCGTTATATTTATATTTATTCCAGTCAAAGCTCTCTTCCGCTATAATTTCTATTTATATTGGTAACTTCATTATATATATTCATGCACAGAATCTGATAATATATACCCAGGATAATGTAACCAAAAATACCATCTAGGTATGTTACAGTTCCCAGAAAACCTAACAACTCGGTCAATAGCGCAAGCAATCGAGAAACTTAAATATATATGTAATAATAATAAAACATTAAGATTTGTATTTCTCTCTCTCTCTCTCTCTCTCTTAAAATTTCCATTTTGGAATAATGTTATTATTCTAATAACAGAAAGTCGGACTGAAGCCTAAGAAATAGTTTTTTTTTTTCATATATATAATTAATAATAACCGAATTATATATTGAATAGGATTAGAAAAGAGTGATAGAAAGATCTAATGTTTTTGTTCTATTGTGAACCCACTTTAATATTAAAAAAAAAAAAGATTAAGACCCTTAAATATATAATTTATAATTTACATTCATCTAAATCTTGTGCTAATACTGACTTTTGTAATTAGGTCCATTAACCATACTTTTACGGGGTATATTAATAATTTTGCTCTCATAAAAGTTTACCCCAGTTTTTTCTTTTTTAAATAATTTATTAGTCATAATTACACCTGATTACTCATCTTTTAAATAATATTTATCTTGGCCGAGGATCGAATCCCGGTCCGCCACCCACAAACTCTCTTCAATTGACTTTTTCAGCAATCTAAGTGTCTTTTTATTTTTATTTTTTCAATTAACCATCATTGATATCCATCTTTCAATGTATATATACTCATTAATTCATTTCAATTATATATTATTAAATAAACAAAAAAAAAGAGGCAAATTACTTTTTATTAATTTTTTTTTTCTTCTTCTTCTTTCATATCAAAAAGTTTATTTGTGCTTGTTAAGAGCAGCCTCGACCTTGCCAGGAGCGGCACCAACAACCTCATCAACCTTCTGGCCATTCTTGTAAAAGATAAAGGTGGGCATGGCACGGACACCGACTTCAGCAGAAACGCTGGACAGCTCGTCAACATCGACCTTGATAAACTTGACAGTGGGGTTGGCGTTAGAAAGCTTCTCAATGACAGGAGCAATGGCCTTGCATGGGCCACACCATGTGGCGAAAAAGTCAACGACGGTAAGACCCTCGTAGTTGATGGCCTCCTGGAACTCGGAAGCAGATTTGACTTGAGTGACGGCCATTGTGGATATTGTGAGTGTTTGAGTGTAGTTGATAATTGAGTAGAGAGGATAGGGTTAAAATGTTTATAAAAACAAGAAATTAAACAAGTTGTAATGAGATGGAAAAAAAAAAAAAAGGCTGGAGTTTTTTGCGGTCTTATATATTCCATAAAAAAAAAAAAAGGGTGGTGGTCTTTTGAAAGAAATTATTTATAAGCAGCTTATGTCAGTCTAAAAAAAAAATAAAATACCTGTCAACTGACGTAAATATTAGTCATATAATACACACTTTCACGTGACCAAAGATTATAGCTGTTTAATTCCATGGAAATATCAAATTTAAAAAAAAAAAAGTATTATCAATCAATCTAAAGATTCATTAATTTACAATATCGTCAAAAGAACTTCCTTCATCTTCTAAAATTATTTTATTTAATAATATCAAAAGAACTTTATAGAAAAAAAAATAAAATTAGAAATCAAAAAAAAAAATACCCATATTGGTATTTATTATGCATCTTTATTGTTGTCAACACATTTTTTGCACACAAAGTCTAGATCCCCATAATCAAGGTACACAATCTGTAACAGCCCCATTATGATGACTATGATTTTTATCGCCGTTTCTGTGATTACTAACACTCTTCCATACCCTACCCCCTCCTCTCCTTTATGATATCCCGGAAAAGATACCACCACCATCATCAATTTTGCAAATCAATTTCTATTCTATATATACATTTCGTGCTATTACTAAAGAATCTTATAAATCTTATTTTTAACAAGATTGAAAATTTCTTCCAGTCTTTGTAACAGAAAAAAAACAAATTGACAATGATCAGCGCGGAGCTTTTAATGGTAAAGTAGAAAGTTTTTTTTTGAAAAGGTGACTTGAACATGATGAGAGAGAAAGAGAGAATGGAAAAAATAAAAAGTATCAAGATTAAATATAATTGTATAATTGAAAATCCTTAAACCTATATATACCTTTGTGCGGCTTGTTCCTTGAAAAATTAACATGCTCGACCTTATTCCCAAACTTTTACCAGGCCGTCTAATGTTTTTTTTTAACTACAGTCCAATTCTAATACCAAATTAGATATATAAAAAAAACGGTACTTTATTTAATACTGCTTTGTATCTTTTTTTTTTAAAAAAATAAAAAAATACTTAGATCTGGTGGGCAGGCAAGTATTGATAATAGTTAAATTACTAAGCTATTCAAAAAACCTTTTAAAGTTACTTGTATTTTTTTTTTTGCATAATATATTTAATAATTTATACTTAACGACCGGTCACTTTTTTATAAATACATGCATGAAATAATAAGGAATCCCATATTTTTCCAAACTCCAAGTTCCAAGTTCCATTCCCCCCTTCCCATTATTATTACCACTCAATTGAATACATAGACATAGAGAAGAATATATTAATTTTTTATTTTTTAATATTTTTTTCAAATTAAATACAAATTCTTTTAAGTGTATTAATTAAATATATCTACACACAAATGATGTTAAGGTCAAGAATAACAAAATTGAATAAAACTTTCAAAAAAAAAAAAAACGAAAAGAGAAAAAGATGAAGATTAAGAAAGGAAAATTTCATAAAACCTAATCCAAAAATGCGGCTGTAAATATAACGTGGGGAAGATCTAGCATAAAACAAGACCAGAAGCACTTAAAGATTTCGTTTATCTAAGCTTATTTATCATTTAAGAATTAGCTCGTTTAGTTGAAAAAAATTTTTTTTTTTTAATTTTAAATTAAAATGGATTAAGAGAAAAAAAATAGACTAGATGGTGTTCTTGATAACCATTGATTCTGGGAAATTTATTATTCGGAGCAGAGCAGACAAATTAAATTTCTGGGCCCATACAAGAGGATAGTAAAAATGGCAACGGTGAGAGAAGAGCTATTGATGAGAAAGAAAGAGCAGGATGAATTTTGTTTTTAGGTAATGTTTTGTTCTTTTTGTCCATGACCAATTGCTGAGATATGACGGCCATAAACGGAATTCAGAGTAAAAGATAAAGAAAAGTGATCACGTTTGATTCTTTTTAGAAATAGTCTCTTAATATAGAATCCGATTTTTTTTTTTTACTTTTGAGTACAATGACCACGTCTGAAGAATTAACAATGTTGGTTTACAAGAATAACAGACTAAGAATTGAGAAATACTATATATTTAACAGTATTTTCTTGTATTCATTTGTTTATTTCTTCTTCATTCACAATTATTTTATTAATTTTGTTTCATTAAAAAAAGAGACTTGTAAATACTTTTCTTTCCTTATATAACCATGCTTGAAGGGATTAATTGTTTGCCAAATAAGCAATCAATTAATATTATATTAAATTGAGAAAGGGTTTCAAAATCCTGGCGACACGAGTTAAAGGGTATTTCAATTGAGGGTTGCAAAACCAATTAAGTTTGTAATAATTTATTTTCATAAATAGAATCATATTGTATGAGTTTTGTTTATGATAGGATGACTTAATTTAGGATAACAAAAAGGTGTATATTTCAATTTTAAAAATTTTTTTTTTTAATCTTAAAATCATATATTTTCAGAAAAAAATTCAATAAGAGTTATTAAGATCAGAGACTTGGCTAGTTTGACCGGAAAATCGATTATTTTCATACCATAAAAGGAAATTTCTTTTGAGAGTCTTTCCTGTGGGGATATATAGAACGGCTTTTGTGAACTTTTTATTATAAGAACCAAAAAACATCATTTGTCTTTGAAAATAACTTAAAGTTAAATGTACATCAACCATGAGTATATTAATATAGTTTTCTCTTTTCATCATGACCATTAAGAGGGTTCGATAAAGAGTTACACTTGCTTGTTTATCATTAAATCACCATAGAATAAACCTCCAACAAATGGAAGAAAAAAAATTTTTTTTTTGATGACAAAAAAAAGTTTGCCACTGGAATTTGTTTTCTAAGGGGATTTTTTTTATTTTCAAAATTCTACAAGTAAAGAAGAGGTATTTTTTTTTAATATAGTACATAATTCCTGAGAATAATGTAAATCACTGATTAGACGGCTGCCGTTTGGTTTAAAGTTTTTTTTTCTTTTTTGAAACACGTATTTTTTTTTTTTTTTGACTCACATAACAACTGAACTGCATGGAATTTGAGTGAATGATGGAAAAAACCTACTACTACTGAAGAAAACCATTGAAGCATTTCCCTGACAAAAATCACCCTGATTAGATTTCATTATTTAAACGACGGAATTAAGTAATAGCCATGGTTTTGTTACAGATTTTCTACAGTAAGACTGTATATTTACAAGGTAATAAATGGTGTAGCTGCAACATGTGAAATAACCAAAGCTACTGATTGTGACTGATATCACATTTAAAGAAATCATTGGTTTGAAGAATTTCAAAATAAAGAGAAGAAGCACTATGTGTAGAACTAATAGCATAGGGATTGGTATTAAGGATAGATAGGGTATTTCAACATCATGTAAGAAAAAAGGTATGGACACTAGAAACCAGAGGAAAAAGACAAAAAAAAGGTGAGCCAAACATCATTTAGAGTAATTTTGGCCAGTTAACATTGTATTGTTCACACAAAGATCTATCTCTGGGTATTATTATATGTAATGATTGTTGGAAAAATTTCTCGTAGATTTTCTATGCTATTTATATATATACAATGGCTAGTTCAAAGTTCAAAAAATTATTAAGGAAAAAAAACAAAATCAAAGTCATGAATAAAAACAGTTCAAAGATAAATGAGTAATTCCATATGTCTTGAGTAGGAAAAAAAAAAAAGAAAACGTTATTAAATTTGTATATACCGTTGTTTGGAGGTTGAGATTGACCTAAATTCTGCAGAACCCAGAGATTCTTCTTTCTTTTCTTTTCTTTTCTTTCCTTTCTATTGGTAATAATTTTTTTACAGGTTTTTTTGAATGGCTGCCTTGATTGCGGGGGGATTGGCACCTACAATTTCGCCGACCTTGATGCCAGCTTTGTAGAGTTGGAAGGTAGGCATTGCTCTGATTCCGACTTCCTGCGCAACATCTTGAGACTCATCAACATCTATTTTGATAAAGTGTGCATCGGAAAACTCGTCGGAGAACTTTTCAACAAGCGGGGCCACCGCATGGCAGGGTCCGCACCAAGTGGCATAGAAATCAATCACTGTCAGCTTATCAGAGTTGATGGCAGCGTTGAAGGCAGGCAGTCCGGAGACTGGGTGGACAACCTGAATGCGGGCAGTAGAATGGAACGAACGGAGGGATTGTCTGAAAAGGTTCTTTGCAATCATTGTTGATTAATTGTTTGTGAAGGATTGTTTGTGGAAGTGGCGGCAATTATTGTTGGTTGATTAGAAATGAGAAATGAGAAATTAGAAATTAGAAATTAGACATTAGACATTAGACATTAGAGATAGAGAGGGGAATAAAATATATTAGAAATGATTATTCAAGATTAGTAATATATAACAAATATTTACATCATTTTTAAATTTTTATTTTATTTTTATTTTATTTTATTTTTTTTTTTGTTCAAAGAAAAACATCCTGCCCAATTGCATTTCGGCTTAAACATTGGCTGTTAATAATAGCAAATAAAAAAAAAATTATAAAAATATAAATATAAAAAAATAAAAATAAAAAAAAAATGGATTCTACAATTCAAATTGGTAAGATTTTACTACACTCTAAACCCAACAATTGTCCCAATCTCTAATTAATTTGCCTAGAAAACCTCCCTGAAGATTTACCAACCGATGCATTGTACTCACTGTTTTTGCCATTTGGTCCCATTGCCTCTGTAGCTGCGACTGAAAAACCAGCAGGAGCAGCAGGAGCAGCAGGAGCAGCAGGAGCAGCAGGAGCAGCAGGAGCAGCAGGAGCAGCATCTACAGTAAGGTCTATTCCACACACATACTCAGCTACCAAGGCCACGATAGTATACGAGGCTCGAGAAGATGCAGCAGCTGCAGCAGACAACATGGATGGAGCAGAAGTTCGTGGACGAGCATTGCGGGTGCGAGTTGGTGGTGGGCCTGTTGGGACAGTGATTGACACGAAACGTAGTTTATGGAATCAGGGGGAATAAGAAAATAGATCAAGAAAAGAAGAAGAAAAAAAAAGGAAAGGAAAGAAAAGAAAAGATCAGGTATATGCTGGCATTAATAAACAATAAATGGTTTAATTTTGTATTCATTAGAACTAGAGGATAGGATTTTTTTTTTTTCGACGAAAAGATTTCTTTTAAATCATGTCGGATGTTTTTTTAATTAATATTAGAGGGTTTTCATTTGGCAATTGGGATTAGAAAGAAAAAAAATAAACAAAAAGATGATTGAAATTATAGCTGGCAATAATGGGGGTTTCTTTTCGATTAAAGGTTTAATTTTTTTTTCTTTTTTATAATTTTTTGAAATAAAATTGATGCTTTTTTTTTAATTTTGTTTATTGAAAATCCTTTAGTGACCCTCGGACTCACCCTCACCCTCATCGTGAGCAGACTTGCCAGTACGGGACAGTCTCAGGTCACCAAAGGCAAGCTTGCGGTAGAAGCTGTAGGAGGCACCAACAACAACCAAGCCGCAAGCAACGAGGAGGGGGTAGACTTCAACAGGGATGGCACTTTCCTTCTTGCCGGCCTTCTATAGAGTATTGTTAGTATAAAAGATTTTATTTATTTTTAAAATAGAAATAATAATAATAATAATAATAATTAAGTGTCAAGAGAAATGAATAGATTACATGTGATTGGATGATATTAGGTTATGGGGTATAAATATAAGTCCATGAGAATCAAGTTGAAGAGTTGGCTGATAATGAAAAGGAATTGCAAGGACAAAATAAATATAAAAAGATAAAAAGATAAAAAAACAGAGAAGTACTTACGGCAGCAGAGGACATAAGAGCACGAGTGGGGATCATTGTGATTGTTTGTTTTGGAGGGGTTTGGAGGGTTTTGGGTGGTTGTGGTGATGTGGAAGGGAAGGGGGGGAAAAAAAAAATAAAATAAAAAGTGAGAGAAAAGAGAGAGAGAGGGAGTTTTTTTTTAATTAATTAATTAATTTAATTTAATTTAATTTAATTTAATTCAATTTATTTATTTTAATTTAATTTAATTCAATTTTAATTTATTTTTAAGTGTATTTATTATAGAGAATAAGATTTGTGTTTGTAGGTACACACACACACACACACACACACACAGTTATTTTATTTATATTTTAATAAATATCACTTTGATAATAAAATAATAATAATAACTGTCCAATCAGCCACCGTTAAAAGATTTGTGCGTTTATGTATTTGTGTATTTGTGTGTGGCCTTATTTTTTTTTTATTTTTTTATTTTTTTATTTTTTATTTTTTTAAATTGAAGGGAGAGGCAACCAAGTAAGTCCACAACAACAGTCAGACCACATTATAATGATCATAGTAATTATGACTAATAATTATTATGACTAATGATTACGAGCAAACCACGTCAGCGTTGCCCAAATTAATACAACAGCCCCAAATAACCCGGCTATCGGAAGTGCAGCCGCAACCGCAGGAGAAATAGACCCCCAGCGCCAACTCAAGGTGCAACAACACCAGTTGCACAAAAACAAGTTGCGCCTTTTTTGGCGATTCCCTTGACGCCTATTGCCACTCATATAATAATAATAATAATGATTATGATTATGATGACGCTGCTTCCGGGAATTGTAGTACCGACTACCGGAGCGTTTCGAGAGTCCCGTGGCTCTTCGGATTCGGGTAAATGAATTTAGCAGAGTGTTTTTGTGTGTCATGAGATCTAACTGTTCTTCTTCATCATAACTATAATTATCTTCTTCATCATAACTATAATTATCTTCTTCATCTTCATCTTCATCTTCATCTTCATCTTCTTCCTGAGTATTACTACTACTACTACTACTACTAAAATCTTCTTGGTCCATCTCGAAAAATACCCGATCCACAAGTCCCACCAGATCCTTTGACATATTGTAATCACAAACCACCCATTTCCATTCACCATCTATTGCTATCATACCTCCCAACACTTCACGGACTTGTTTTCTGATTTTCCCCTTTTCTTCTTCTTTTTCCTCTCCTCCTCCCCCTCCTCCTATTCTAACCCACCTTTTTGGAGGCTTCCCTGCAGCCTCTACTTGAAGCACACATTCGACTGCAGCCTCGTACTCTTTGCACGTGCCCCTAGCATTTATCCCAATTGCTGTTATACTTTCGACAAAGCGAGTACATGTGGATTCAACATTATTATCATTATTATTATTATTATTATTATTATTATTATTATTATTATTATTATTATTATTATTATTATTATTATTATTATTATTATTATTATTATTATTATTATTATTATTATTATTATTATTATTAGTAGTATCATTATCATAATAATCATTACCATCACATGTGTCTGAATCTGCTGCACTACCATTCCCAGGTGTTTTTGTCTTGTTTTCCATTCTTAATGGTGTTGCTGTCACATTGAAATTGAGAGCTGCCAATTGCTGGGCAACTGTTTTTATGAGCACACGAGTATTATTTCTGTAGGCTCTTAAATCTGCTGCCAAAGTTTGACCAGTTTTATTTTCTGTACCTTCTCCTCCACCCTTCATTCCACGTAGAAGTCTAGCTCTAGTTATGTTACATTGGACTTGAGTGTTGGTCAAAGCTGTAATGTTGTTATTGATATGGACAAGGTGACAAGCCAATTTTTGTTGTAGTGTTGTTGTTGCTATTGTAGTTTTAGGATAAGCATTTTTTGTATTTTTGCTTTCCAACACAGCAAGTTCAATGCCGTGCTGTTGTTCTTTTATCTCGACATGAAGTTTTGTAGTCTCTTGGCAGCTGGATAAGTCCGATTTAGTTGTCATGAATATGAATATTTTTTTTTATTTATTTTAAATAGATAAAAAATAAAGAAAAAAAAAGATGAAGAAATAAAATAAAGAAATAAAATGATTCATTTTTTTTTTTAAAAAATTCTGAATTATTATTAAAATGAACTATTCATGCTATTTAAATTTATCTATATATATATATATATATAAAGAAATGAATTCTCTTTTTTTTTTTGGATTAAAGATGCTTGTTTGTAGACTGATCAATATTAACCTGAATTTTGATTTTTTTTTATTTTTTTTTTCTTATAGTGAAATAAATAAAAATATAAACAATAGGGGGGAGGCTTCTTTTTTTTTTTTTTTTTTTTTTTTTTTTTTTTTTTTTTTTTCTTTTTAAAGTACATCTTTAAAAAAGAGTTAAAAATAAAGTTGTTTTTGTGATTTATTTATTAACAACAATAGAATAATAAATAAATAATTATCACATGGCTTATTATTATTATTATTATTCTATATACAAAAAAAAAACGTTTTGTTTTTTTTTAAATAATTTTTTTTTATAAATTTTTAGTTTTAAAAAATTTAAAAAAAATTTAAATTTTATTTCGCCAATTGCCGCTATTCTGGCGTGCTTGAATAAGCCATTTTTATTGGGAAAAATATATATATATATATATATAAAATATAAAAAAAAAATAAAGAGCCAATAATTTTTTTTTTTTTTAAGATTTAGATTTAGATTTAGATTTTTTTTATTTTCGACATTATCAACATTATCAACATTATCAGTATATATTTCTTATTCTTTCATCATTCAATTCAATCAATTACGTCTCTTTTTATAAAACAAAAAAAAAAGCCACCGTTCATTTTTTTTTAATTTATTTTTATCTTCGTTACTTCCTTTTAAGTAGAACCATAAAAAAAAGAATTCAATAATAAATCAATTATTTTTTAAAGAAAAAAAAAAGAAATAAAAAAAAATTTCTTCTTTTTTGCCAACCTTTTTCTACTTCTTTTGGGTTATCGCCGCCCAATCGATAGTCGTCGATAACACGCCCCGCGTGCACTGAGAAATTAAAAATAAAATTAAAAATAAAATAAAAATAAATAAATAAAATTGCCAAAATCTTTTTCTTTATTTCTTTTACCTTTAATGGGGGGAGCGACTGCGCAACTTGCTACTATTACTATTACTATTTTACCTGTTACTACTAAAAAAAAAAAAAAAAAAAAAAAAAAAAACGACCGCTTGAAGTTTCCCCCCAAAAGTCATGTGACTAAATGTGCTCCCAACTGAGTAAGTGCCATCTTGTACTTTGATCTTAATATGGGCTGGACAAAAAAAAAAATTAATATAAATACCCATAAAATATCCTCTTAAAAAATCTCTTTTTTTATTATTATTATTCTTTCTTTTTATCTCTTTTATCATTATATCATATCTATTCTTTATCTTTTAAAATCCTTATATCCCTTCCCCTTTTTCTATTTACACAAATCAATCAATACCAATCAACCAATCAACCAATCAACCAATCAATCAATTAAAAATGGTTCTCACAGGTAGAGGTGGCTTCGGAAACTTTTCCTCCAGTTCAAGTGCTCAATCCCCAGTTTTGGAGCCCTCCCAACCTCCTCCCGTTCAATCCTTTAAGTCAGCATCCCAGCCTGTTTCTACTGGCCGTGGTGGTTACGGTAACACTATCCCCATCTCCAAGATTTCAACATTGACTCCTAACGAGTACCTAGCTGAACTCCAGCGTTCAGTCGATGCCACCCCAGCAACAGTTTCTGTTGGCAGAGGAGGATCCGGCAATATCCGCCCACCAACTGATACAACAGAGGGAAGACATACTAATGCTTCCATCTCTCCTATTCTGGCTCCCGGATCTTCTCCTAGACATGCTCCAGCATCATCACCTCTTGTTCCTGTCCAGTCCAATTCGTCCCACCTATCAACGTCCAGCTTGAAGCCTTTGGATGGTTAAAATGCTGGTTGAACGGCTGGTATTTTTTTTTTCTATGGTTAATGACGTTAAGGGGAAAGAAAAAAAAATTAAAAAATTTTTTGTGCTTTTTGTTGTTACATTTTTTTATTATTATTATTTTGGTGTATTTTAAAGTTTTAAACGTTAAAAAATGGGGATTTTTTTTTTTTCAATAAATTTAATAATATTAATATTATAAATAAATGAACTTATTTCTTGGTAACATTATTTACAAGAAGGTATCTTATAATTATCAACAATAACATTTACAATAACTTAAGTCATAAGCCATAATACAGTACCATTACAAGATACTTTGGAACCCCACCAACCACCCTCGGATTGGACTTTAAGTGCTAAATAGTTTAGTATAAAAATGAAATCAAGGTCTTGATTCCAAAAAACCAGCTATGAAACGATTTTAGTATTAATTAAAAATTGGAATTCTACAAACTATTTTTTTTTCCTTTCTTTCTTATCAAATTTCTATTTATAATTTACTAATCAGTGATGCTCTAATGCAATATGTACCCAATATACACATGCTAATAATTAATAAATATTTAAGACACTATCATCAACTTTGGCCAAAATAACATCAAAAGAATACCATCGTCTGTAATCACCGGGCCAGTTTCCATATTTAACAAAGCCTTCTTTGCTCGGACTAACTTTGCGCCCTGTTCATTAAAACTCAAAGTGATTTTTAGCCCCACATTGTCAAACATTTTTCTCAATATATATATATATATATAACCATCTGACTTTCTCCACATTTCCACCCCTCTCATCAACTATCAATTAACAACCAGTTAACAATCAATCTAACATGTCAATCTATACCCTCTTCCTTACAGCTATTGCTGCACCCTTCATCATCGTCTTACTCCTCTTTCTAATCCCCCTTTATCAGGACCTTTCCTACCGCTTTCTGGTCTGGCGTCAAGGATCCCATGTGGGAAGCCCGCCTACCTTTTACTCATTGCCATTTGGCATCCCGTTTTTTGCCAGAATCCTTAAACACTCCTTTAAAGAAAAAACTCTGATGCCACTCTTCGAAACACTTTGGCGCCATCACAAGGCTGCAACGTTTAGACAGCAGGTATTTGGCCAATTTGACATTTGGACTATAGACCCAGAAAACATTAAAACAGTTCTATCAACAAACTTCAAGGACTACGAGTTTGGAAACAGAAACGGGGCATTTGCTCCTCTTCTAGGTGATGGAATCTTTACTCTGGATGGACAAGGCTGGAAACACTCAAGAGCAATGCTCCGACCTCAATTTACAAGACAGCAGATTGCCCAGCTTGACTCCATAGAGCGCAATGTGACTACTCTTATTTCTATCCTCAAGGAATCTCCAGGTCAAGTCAGAGACATCCAGGCTCTATTTTTCCAGTTAACAATTGATACTGCCACTGAGTTTCTTTTTGGAGAAAGCGTACAGACGTTATCAGGTGGGAACCCTAAGATTGCTCATGCACTAGAATTTGGTAAGGCTTTCAACGCCGCACAAGCCGTTCTTGCCAAACGCATTAGACTTAATTCTTTCTACAATGCACTCAACCCTAGGGAATTCCAAGATTGGTGCAAAACATGTAAGTCTTTCACCGAATCCTATGTTCAGATGGCTTTAGATAAAAAACAACAAGAAAAGGATCAGGATCATTCTTACATCTTTTTGACTGAACTTGCCAAGGAAACAAACGACCCAAAGGTACTTCGCGACCAAGCTCTCAACATTTTGCTTGCAGGACGAGACACAACCGCATCTCTTCTTGCTTGGATCTTCTATAACCTAGCCATCCACCCCAAAGTCTTTGCACGCTTGCGTAAGGAGATCCTTGACCAGTTTGGCACATCTCCTTCCACTCTTTCATTTGAATCCCTCAAGCAATGTACATACTTACGCTACGTCATCAACGAAACACTCCGATTGTATCCTCTAGTTCCTGCCAATGGGCGTTGCGCTATTCGTGACACGTACCTGCCACACGGTGGAGTAAATCCCACTGATCCGCACAACTATATTGGCTCCAAGCCCGTTTTCGTTCCCAAGGGGATGGTTGTTGGGTACTTTGTGTACGTGTTGCATCGCGACCCACATTTCTGGGGGGCTGATGCCGACGAATTCCGTCCCGAACGCTGGGCCGAGCACCGTGAAAATGTGCACCCTTGGGATTACTTGCCTTTCAATGGAGGACCTCGGATCTGCTTGGGCCAGCAGTTTGCGCTGACAGAGGCAGGGTATGTTACAGTAAGACTGTTGCAAGAGTTTAGCGAGATTCGAGGCGGTGACGCGCTACCTGTGCCGCCCAAGTCCGAGACCCAGTTGACAATGAGTGTTTATGGCGGGGTCCCCGTGGCTTTGGTTTAGGTATGTGGTGGTAAATTCCTCTTCAAGTAACCAATTACGTGTTGCTGCCTGTCTGATTTTGGTTTGAAAGGATATATATATGAATTTGCAAGTAAGTCTAGGAAGAGTAAAAGGAGTTTAGTATGAACCGTAAGTGTCACTATTTTTATAGATTAGATTAGGACTGAGTTTTTATATGGAAATAAGTTGAGCTAAAAGTAACAGAAAAATTAAATTATTACGGAAACACGGTAAACCCAATTTTGAAATTTTTGTGTTCTTTTGTTGATGTTGTGTTATCTGTTAAAGAGATGAGAGGTGAAAGTACGAGTTGTTGACGTTAGCAAAACGAATTTTGACGTCACGTCTTCTTTACGTAAAGATGTATTCGAAATCTCTTTAATCTTAATGTTGAGATGAAAGAGAAAACTTGGGAAAAAATTGAAAGTCACACGGAAAACAAAAAATTGGAAATTAGCGTAGGTTTTGTAAGTTAATATTAAACCATGATGTAATAAGGGTTGTAACATTTTTTAAAGCCATCCATGAAAGGGTTTTCTTTTATTAAAGAAAAGGGTTTGCGTATTTTTAGGAGACACCAAGTTTCATGATGATGTTTGGTCTTTCATGAAAGACCAAACATCATAAAAAATAACAACCATAATGTTAATAGTTATGGATGAAAGTGATTATAGTGACTTCTATACTCATTTTAACATAGTCAGCAAAGTATTTTGCTTAACTTCTCAGGATTTGGCGAGTTACAAAGGTTACAAAATCACTGACAATTACTGAAATTTAACAAGGATCTTTTCTTTGAGAAAACTATGTTTCTAACCGTTATTTTTTATATTAGAAAACATTTTGTAAAAATGCTTTAAAAAATAAAATAATTCAGTATAAAGTAATACTATATTTAATTTTAAAAAATATTTTCAATCAATGTCTTAATTTATAAAATAAAGCAATCCTAAAAACTGCTTCATTTTATATTATAAGGCATAGGGGAATAATGGTTTTATTTAATCTGAAAAGCCTTCCAGAATAATGTTTTCTATACTTTGTGAAGGCACTACATAATACTGCTTTCTATACTATTGGAAAGCACTACAGAATACTGTTTTCTTTACGTTTATAAAAATTTTATTTTTTTAATAAATTTAATATAATTTAATTTTCTATTAAATATTACGTAATAGCTATGATAAATTACAAAATAATACAAAAATTCAACCAGGCACATTAAATATGGGTTAGGGTTCCCGATGATCGTGAAAAAACCCCGTTGACATTTCAATCTGGAAAGATTTTGTATCGATGATTCCATGTTTGAAAAAAACGCTGATGATCTTCAGTATTATGAGTGCAAGATCTGTTTCCACTTGAGTGTCTTGAGTGTCTTGAGCATTTTGAGCATCTTGAGCATCTTGAGCATCTTGAGCATCTTGAGCATCTTGAGCATCTTGAGCATCTTGAGCATCTTGAGCATCTTGAGCATCTTGAGCATCTTGAGCATCTTGAGCATCTTGAGCGTCTTGAGCGTCTTCTGGAAATAAATCAATAGCACTAAATGTTGTCTTCACTAGTATTAAACTATCTAAGACATTCTTTGAAAATTAGTAGGTAAAAGTTCAACTGATCAAAACACTCACGTTTGCTTCAATGATAATAATCTTTTCAGTGAGGGGTTTTTTTTCGGAGAAAGTTAAACAACCTGAAAGCTGATTTAATGTTAGTCAAAATATTGAACTGTTATATTAAAAAAAAAAAAGGTCATATTGAAGATACATTGTCTGTTATCTTACTTCATAATAAATGTGGGACATTTTGTGTAGGTAGTCAATAGAAAAATTCTTGTAAAAAATAAGAATAAAAGAGGTTGAAGTTAGGGGAGGTTTGTGGTATATTTATACTTAAAAATATAATTATATTTTTATTTTGAAGGTGCGAAAATCATAGATATCAGCAAAAAAAGAGGGGAAAAAATTAAAAATTAATTCTTTCCCCTCTTTTTTTTTTCTGAAATCTATCGCAAGTACCTTATAAAGTACTTTTAATTAGATACGTAGATAAGGTTACCTTATCAAGGTATAATACCTTATATCCTGAATTTAAAAATTTATGCAAAAATATGATTATTTGTGCTGACTGCAGCACAAAGGTCCAGCTGGACCTTAAAATTTTTTCTCATGAATATGATAATTTTACAGTTAGAAAGACCAGCGTTGGAGAAAATATGAGGCCTTCTATTTTTTCAATTAAATATAATCTTTGAATAATTAGTCGTAGCATGTTTTTGGTTATAATGAAATTCATTTTTCAAAAACCTTTATTTATATTTGTGAAGAAGCTTATCACCCCGCTTTTTAAAAAATTATAAAAGTCGCGTAATACGGTTTTCTCAAAGATATATATATGTTATATATAACGATATCGATATCAATATCAATATCACAATATTAATAAAAAGATTTCTTTGATTCTCATTTTTTTTTATTTATTCCCCATAAAAACTAAAAAACAACTTCTCTACCATCATCGAACCTTTTACTGTATCCATCATGACTCCAGCTACCAGATCTCAAGTTAAATCAAATCCAGTACTTGACAATGACTTATTAGTTACACAACTCAAAGCTGTTAAGCGCAAGCCTAGAACAAAAAGTTCTAAAACCGATCCACCAAAAACAAAAAAAAAAAAAAAAGATACTTTAAGTGATAAAGATTCAGTTTTTCAAACAAACTCCAAATCTGTTGATTCAGTTGAAAGTTCTTCATCCATGGGCACTACGCCACCCTTTTCTTCTTTATTCATACCTTCTCCTTCAACTCCAGTCTCCAATTCTGCTTCAAAAAAAATATTAATTGAAAAACCCCAACTTCCTTTCTCATCCAATGTGTTACTACTTTCTTCAGGTAATGATAACACAGGCAACTACCCAACACCATCCAGTAACAAAAACAAGCTCAAGACCTCAACTCCTTCCAATAGTCACGCAGATCCAAATTTCCTAAAAGCTGAACATACTACACCTTTACCAACCAAGCGATATGAATACTATGAATGTCAAGTCAAAGTAAAACAGGAGAAAGGTGCCAATGCCTCTACAAATGAAAATTCTACTATCGAATGTTTTGATAATGATAATGATAATGATAATGATAATGATAATGATAATGATAATGATAATGATAATGATAATGATAATGATAATGATAATTGTCATTATAATAATTATGATTCTGATTCTGATGTCAATGCTGATGTCAATGCTGATGCCAATGCTGATGTCAATGCTGACAAAATAGATCCCTCGATCACGTCAAATATCCCCCAGTTTCTCAACAAATCACCGAAAAAAACTGTTTTCATTGAAACTCACATGGGTACACCTTTTCTTTCGGAACTCTCTGTACGCGACATAGTAGATATTGTAGACATTAAGCTTAAAAACTTCAGCATTTTATGGGTGTTTGCTGCATGTGTTGTTATTGAAAAAAAAAAAAAAAAGAGCAATCTTGAATTGTTTTTCAATAAAAAGAGTATCATATCATCTGAAACCAATCATTCATATTTGTATTTTTTCCCCTCTTTAAACCATACAAATGATGAGTTCAAGAACTATCTTGAAACGAAGTTTGAGCAATCCTCTTGGCTCAAATCTTTTCGGGCAGGAAATGCTCAACAAGAATTTGGATTGTTTCTTCCAATTAATTACCATGATCACTGGTCTCTTGTTTTTGTTTTTTGCAGTCCATCTGGTAATTGTTTTCAAGTTTTTGTCCATGATTCGGTTCATTTATTCAAAGACGACTTTTTTAAATTTTCGTCCCAAAAAACTCAGTTTTTTGATTTAGACGTCTTCTTATCAAACATTGACATACTTCGAAGCAAGATATTTAAGGAGAATGAAAATATTACTGAAACTCATGTTATCTCACAACATTTTTCTTTTGGAGATTTGAAGTTTGTACCGCTACACTTACAAAAGGACAGCGACAGTTGTGGCATTCAAATGGCCTTGAATGCTCAACGCATATGCTCAGCTTATCTATCATCATCTGGTGTATTAAATTGGCTAAAATCTGAACCTTCAGTACAACAGCTTTATGGTCAAGATTTACGTGTTTTTCGTCGTGAGCTTGTCTATGAGATAAATATGGAAGACTTTCCTGTTAATCCGTCTGGGAGAAGAAGAAGAAGGAGAACATCCAATCTTGACTATTCTGAGAATTTGACTTTATCTAATGAGTTTACTCAAGATTTTTTAAATACATATAACGAAGCTATTGCAGCTCTTTTTGTTGAAAGAAATGTTCTTTTATTTTATGATCAACTGAACCATCAAAAAATAGGAACAAGGAAAAGAGATATTTATGACAATCTGGAAGAATTGCCTGATAATTTTGAATGCTTTTATTGGGCCGATCGATTCAAATTTCAAACGTTATTAGTTAACTTTGATTTTTTCATGCTTTTTCCTAATCTTTCAAAACGTTTTCAGCAGGGAAAACGTGACGAATTATCCATGTGGAGAAAAATTGTGGTAAAACATCTTCATATTCCTTCTTACTTATGGACTTACAAATTTGTTCAAAATCCCAATAAACAGTCTTACCTTGCAATGTATGATCATTGTTTCAGCTTAATGTCAGATAAACTTTTTTCACAATTTTTAGGAAAAGTTGATGGCGTACAAAACTATGATCCTATGTTGATTAAAGAACTACTGATTTCTCTTCCTAGAGGATTTTCTGACAGAAGAATTTCCAATGAAGGACTACGTTATCAACGTCAGCTTAAAATCGAAAACGAAGATTGTTTAGTAACAAGGCGTGGAGTGACTGAAGACAATGTAATGCGAAAAATAACTAAGGGAAAGCCAGATACTTTAATTATTAAACCAGAAGAGATTTTACCAGAGCTAAAAAAAATTACTCTACTAGGAATGAAGAAAGATGCCACAGATACATGGAATAACCGTATTTCTTCAGATTTCAACAAAAAGTATTATTATATTTCTAAAGAGCTTGTACGTTATATCTTTTTGAACAGAAGTAACCATAAATAGAATCAAAATATTGTTTAGGTAGCTAATTTTTTTCTAATCAATTATTTTTATTAAAAGAAATCAAATATATTATATAATTTATAAATTTAAGACTTTCCTTTTATTATCAATATTTAAAAAAAATGTCATTAATGAAATTTTTATATATAAACATTTTTTTAGTCCGGAAAATCTTCCATCCCCAAAAATTTTTTACTCCTCCACTCCTAAAAACTTTTCACTGCTAATTTTTTTAGGGGCAACATACATTAAAAAAATGAATTATGAATATAAGCAAAGGGAAAAGGCTCGGAAGAAGGTTTTCACAAGAAAAAAAGGTCTAATTAGCTCAGAAATAAGTTAGTATTATGAATTTCTAATTTTTTAATTTAATCTAATATTTTATGTAAAGAAATTTGGTTGTGTATTGATTTGGTCGATCCGCCAAAAGAACATTATTCTTTGAAAGAAGTTTTATTGAACGCTTGCGATGACCCTCATTATTCCTCTGTTTGTGTCAACAAATGGCGGAATATATATACACCAAAGATGCTTTTGGAGCTTTGTGGCAAAGATTTTTTAAGTCCTTTGCAGGTTGAAGTTATGGACCAGTCAATCAGATTATTTATTGCTAACCAAACTGCAATTTTTGATCACATAAATACCTGGCTCTGCAGTCCAAATCATACCGCTGAATACCGTAAAAAAATGGGTCTTCAAAACAGACATTGGCCTTTGAGTGACATTGAAAGGGCAAAAATTTTATTTGCTCTTTTAAAAGCCGCAGGTGAGCCATATGTTGGGTTTGAAAAGCGTGTTTTCTATAAAGATCTTGGAATTTATGAACCAGCAAAAATATTAGAATATTATTCTGAGCGATACAAAGTTAATAAAAATCGGATTACAAACATCAGTACACGATTGTTGACAACAAACGGCAAAAGTAATCAATTTTGTCATGGTTTTCAAACTGATGAAGAATGGAGAATTGATCAACTGAAGATGTGGGCTGCTAAAATTAAGGAAGGCTTACAACATGATCCTACTTTATTGATCGAAAGGCGAGAAGTGGCCAAAAAGCTGTTGAATTTTTCTGGAGATCAATCTGTCTTAGAATTAACTCGTCCAACTGATGTTTTTTTTGGAGCAGTGATTAAAAAACCCCACACACCAGAGGAGCTAGAAAAACGTAAAATGGCTACGATGTACTACACCATACTGGCAAATCTGGGTCCTGAAAATATTGAAATATCTTTTTCATCAATAGAAGAATCCGTTTATGGCTCTAAGGAAAAGTATTTTGACTCTACTGAGCATATTCGAAGTAAGTGAATTAGTCTTCAATGAATTTATAGTTATTAACATTAAATTTATAGGTTCAATTAACAAATTATTGGGGGAAAGAACTGATGGAGTTGAACCGACTTTTACAACTGACAGCCTTAATTTTTCTATTGAGGAAGAATTTCACCTTGACGATGATGAATCCAATGGCACTGACATTGACCTTAGTCTTAACAATAATATTAATAACGATGAAGATTGCTTGAGCGAAATTTTTGATAAAAACTTTTGTTTAAAAGAAGACGCAGTTGGTATCATTGAAAAGATTTCGGCTAATCACCAATCAACATTTTTGGAAAAAAACGATCCACAGGATATGGAAACAACAAAGTCAAGCGTCTGCGATACAGACAAATCTCATACTTTTGAACCCAAAACTTTTTCTGAAGATGAAGTTTCTGAGCTTTTGTCTTCAGTTGTTAAGATGATTCTTCTTCGTTCTAATAAGGCTTCTGATATTGGAAGGCTTCCAGCTAACAAAATTAAGAAAAGATATGCCAATGATTTTTGGACTAGAGAACCCCAGTTAAGAACTCTCCGCAAAGGTTTTCTTCAATACATCAAGGACGAAAAAAAATTGCAGGCACGTTTTTCTGTTCTTAATAATCTTTGTCTTATGTTTGAGTGTAATGAAAGTTTATCATTCAAACAAGCTTCTAAATTTATTTTAAGACTTTCAAAAGCTCATGGTCAATCTAGAACTTTTACTAAGGAGGTTCTGAGCAAGATAGAAAAAATTTGTTATTTGACTTTCCATACTGGAAAACTTGACCCAAAATCTAAGCCAGTTCTTGCTTTTACTAGAGATCCAAAAACGGCAAAAAAAGCAGGAATTCTGTCTAAAAAGAATAGTGCACTTAAAGGATGTCCCCGTGCAACACCTGGAGAAAATCTAAAAGAGTTGTTTCCTAATGCAAAATTTATTGATTTTCCCAATGTCAAAATGATACGTCGTGGTGACTGGACTACAGGTGATGAGGTTGTTTATTTTTGCGCAAATAGATGTATGGCTTTTACTGGTGCATACTATGATTTGGCTGAATGTATTCAGTGTGGCCATCCGCGTGATCCAATGTATCGATTTTATTATTTTTCACCTCGTGAAAAAGTCAGAGACTTTTTTGAAAATAAGATTTTGGCTAGGATAATGAAAGATGCACATAAGCGACAAAGTACTGACGGTTCAATAGAGGATTTTTTTGATGGAAAGCTTTATAAACTTCTTTCACAAAAAAAAATTCAAAACGCTCAATTAGGTGAAGATTATCAAGAAACTATATCGCTAAAGTATTTTGAAAATGAAACCGATTTAGCATTTATGATCTCATTTGATGGCGTACCTGTGGAGTTTGGAAATAATTCCTACAACATTGTCGTTGCCAGATGCTTAAATTTACCACCGGAAGAGCGCAATAAGCAGTCAAATTCAATAATATTAATGTCTTTTCCTTCTGGTGTTAATCCTATTGCTAAAAAAGAGAAATCCGCCGTAAAGGACTGGGACTCATTTTTTTTCCCTTTCATTAAAGATAGTGCATTAGCCAGTACATTAGGGTACACCGTTCATGATGAGGACGAAGGGATCATGAGAACTGTTAGGCATCATTTTGTTTTATCTAGTACAGATATGCCGGCAAGCTGCGAGTTGTCAGGGTTGTGTGGGCACATATCTGAATCACCTTGCAGATATTGTCTTGATGTAAAAATATCTACACAGTTAGAGCCCACCCCCAATATTGTTCCTCCTCCTACCTTAAGAAAAGGGTCGGCATCCAAGAAAAACTCAAAAATTAAATCAGCTTTCAGAGTCAACAAAAACAAATCTTCAAATCGAGTTAAAGGTTTGGTTTCATATAAAAATCCTACTTTGATTTTGCCTAAAACTCAGACATCTCAGGACTCCAAACCTCGTGATATTAAGTGGTATAATAAGATTTATAGAGAAGTCTTAAATGAGGAAGCAAAAGCTGCCCCAGATCGCAACAAATTCACTAAACAGGGGTTAAGCCGAATTTCAACGATATTCTGTTTAGGGTCAATGGTACCTGATATGTCATTCCCGCCTGATTTCATGCATTTATCGTATGCAAATGTTGGAAGTAAACTTGTAAATACTATTATTTATGGTAAAGACGGCCCTTATAAGTTTAAATCAAAAGCAGAGGATTCTATTGTCAAGTTTATAGAAAGTCTGAATACATTAGACTACTCATTTCTTCAAAGAAAGTTTGATATTGGTGCTATAAAAGAAGGATTTAAAACTTCACATTCAGTGAAGTTTAAAGCAAAGCAAGTCAAACAACTTCTTTCTATTTTGTTTGGAATTGTTATGAAGTCTCAATATGAAATTGAGTGTCTTGAATACCTGGTTCTTGTCACAGAAATGGTGCATCTTTTAAGATTACTTTCCTTGCCAAGATTTTCCGCAAACTTACTGAAAAGGTTAGAACTTGGAATTGATCCTTTTCTTAACTTTTTTGAAAATCTTTATTTAAGAGATATTGAAAATCTAAACTTTTTGACATTGCCTTTGCACACATTGCGGCATATGGCCCAGGTGATTCAAGAAGTTGGTCCAGTTAGAGCGATATGGTGTTTCGCAACTGAAAGATCTTGCGGTATATTGAGAACTCAAATAAAATACGGAAAGGCCCCTCATCTTACTCTTTCCAATCGTTATATTTATCAATCAATACTTAACAGTCTTTCCGGATCAGTATGCGAATTTTCAATTGGTGCCAAGTTGCCTAGGAACCTCAAATCTAAGCCACAAACTGAGCTAGAAATAACAAGGCAAATTGAAGTTACTGAAATGATCATGAAATATCTTGAAAATGATGAGCGAAGTCTGGAAGCTTGTGGTGGATCCCATAATATTAAGGCTAAGTTTTACAAAAGGATCCTTTTTTTTCAAAGAGACCTTTCTGCGTACATTAACAAGTATGCACGGATCAAAAATAAAAACAACTCTTCTAGTCATGTAATGATTGAAGATATTGTTGAAATTGACTCTTTGGGTCCAGGAATTCCCACCAAGTTTGCTGTGGTAAAGGAATTTCAAATTGGTGTTGTGAAGCCTCGCAATTACAAACTGCAATTTTTTGGAAGCAGTGATAATAATAGTGGCTATTCGATTATTGGTTATTATATTGACAATAAAGACTTTGTTCGTGAGCCTTCAAAATTTTTTTCACCACTCTCTCGTGTTATCGAAGTTAGAGATGTTATATGCCCAGTTTGGCCCATTAATGATGGAGAGTTATCGATATTTGTAGATCCATCATTTGTGGAAGAATACAAAAGAAGCGATGGTACAATAGCCAGAATTGAGGAATATGATGATGAGGAGGATTTCAATCATGTTTGTAAGCAGTACACGAATATTTAATTGGTTTAAATATATACTTGAAATTATTTATAAATTTTATACTTGAATTATTTATAAATTTTATACTTGAATTATTTATAAATTTTATTTACTATTTTGAAATGTCTGTGTGGGGGTTTCTAAAGGAAAAGAAAGTCTTCTAAGAAACCGTTTCATTGCATTTGTGAAGTGGAGAATTAAATTACGTTTTCCCAATTTTTAAAAAATATTAAGGAGACTTGTTTAGTTGATATCAAAAAGCTGAAGAGATATTTAGTACTTTCTTAAATATTTGAAATATTTGAAATGGACGTTTTTTTAAACGTTGAGAAAGAAGTGAAATTATCAATTGGACTTTAACCTTGTTTTGGCTTTATTTAATATGATAAAGCAATTCAAAAAATTCTTTTCTTCTAGTTAAGAAAGCAGTGAAGGGAGGAATGTTTTCTATATTATGATAAAGCAATTCAAAAAATTCTTTTCTTTTAGTTAAGAAAGCAGTAAGGTGTGGAATGTTTTCTAAAAATTCAGAAAGCCATATACTTTAATATTATTTTCTGATTATTAATGTCATCCACCAAAATATGTATTTGTTTAAAATTACAAAACCTAAAACGAGAGGGTTTTCTGTCATAAAAACACCAAAACCGGAAGAAAAAGGTAGAGCCAGCTCGTTTTTTTGTTTACCGTGTCACAAAACGTAGAAACCTCTTTCTTGACATTTTTCAAAACAACGACAAATTTCCATTTTATTTAAAAAATTGGAAAAAACAACAATATCGAAAAAACTTCTCAGCTTTCTTAACGTTGCGAAATTTCAGTTTCATTGATAAAATCTGTTTTGTTCAACGTTCACAACAACAACAAAATCCCATTTTATTATCATCAACACAATAGCCACACCATCTTTTTTCTCACTTAAGTTAAATCAACAAAACGTCGAAAAATACTTTTTTTTTCAACATTGACAACCACCACCAAATCCACTTTTCATATCGTCAACAAGACAGCCACAAAACTTATTTCTGAGTGATGCCACACCAATATATGCTTTCTCAACTTTAAAAAGCTACTTCCATTTTATTCTTTTCCAGTGTTCAAAAAAAAAAAAATATTTGCAACTCCAAATGAATTTCCCATGTATCTAAAGGGACTTTTATTATTTGATAAAATTTATTATTAAATTTTTTTTTTTTTCATTACATTTGGTTGTGACGCCAATACTGCCTGAAGAGCCACCAGATATTAATTTAAAGCTTTTCTTTTCAATGATAAGCTTAATTATTTTTTAGTAGACTTGGTACGTCTGCTTTTCTCATCATCAGATTTCTGATTGCCCAATGGCGTCTGAATCTATCTCAAACCCACTTACCAAGGAATACTTTTTATGGACAATGATATTAAAAAGGAGTCTTTCTTGGATTTATTTTCCATCTTAATAAATGGCAAGCCGGTTCAGTAGCAAAGCACTATATTGCCATAAGTGAACTTACTTCTCAAATGTCATTAATCTTATGACGCCGTGAATGTATTGCTAAAGTTATAAACAATAGGTTTTTAGTATCCTTTAAATAAACTTACTCAAAAAAGTACATTTCTTTTCAAGTATTTTTAATAGATTTTTCTGAAATTTTAAGTAGAGAGAGCAACCTGAGAAGTTGCACAAGTTAAATAATAATAAGAAATAAATAATCAAAATCATTATATTTATAATTATACTTGATATAATTACTAAAATAAAAAGGAAATGATCATTTTGGTTTGATGTGCCGTGAGCTTAACTGGTGCAGAAGTTCTAACTCCTTCAGCTTGAGAAAGTAGAGTTTTTCAATATATTTCGCATTGCTGACAAAGCAGTTTAAAAATCTACCCGTTTCAAAAAAAAAAAAATCAAAGAAAAAAGCAAACTTCATGAAAATTATTTTTAGGGAGAATGTAATACATAATTTTCTTTTTTTCTTTTTTTCTTTTTTTCTTTTTTTCTTTTTTTCTTTTTTTCTTTTTTATTTTTATTTTCGTTTTTGTAATAAAATAAATTTTAAATTCAATTGTTAACTCTATCGTACTCAAATAATCGATAGAAGTAGCTTTCTTATTTTATTTTCTACAGTATGGCCTAAAAGGAGGAACTTCCTATATCAAGTAAAACCTCAAATTTATAATCAATTGTTACCATAGGAGGGTTTACTTTGTAGCTAATTTAAAATACCATCAGATAATAAATAAGTCCCACATATGCTCGCTTGTATATATCATTTAAAGCCTTTTGATCCTCACAACTTTTATCATCATTTTGCATATGTAATATGATATGAAAAAAAAAAAAACTATATAAATAGGCAATAATATTCTCTTCACTTTTAATTCTCATTTCTTCTTACACACTTTTCAATCATTTTTTTTATTGTCAAGAAATAAAAGTGATTATCAAACTATAATTAATATTAACTGGTCATAAGTGACAATTACTATGAATTATTAATTAAGCTGGCATAGTAGCTATAACAATCTATTTAAATAACTATGATTTTGATACTTTTGGGATGAAGCGGGACTAGCCTTAAAGTTTGACTTTTTGAGTCTGGCATTTCACTTTCTAATTAAAATTGTTAACTGGGTCATCAACCACGTTTTATTTTTAGTTTTAATAAAAAGTATTTTAATCGATGTTTTCATTCTTGATAGGACAGTCGAGATTTCTTTATATGCAACATTCATAAAATGATAAATTTCATATTGAAAATACACGATTTCCACTTGAAATTTCTTTTTAAATTGTTAAGTAGCTTAATAATCTAGTCTTTATTTAAATCATCATATTACTCAAATATACTATTTTCATCTTTAAGCATTGAGTATAAGGACCTATTCTTGACGTTTGTTGTCGTGAATTATGTGCGATTTTTGTCTGAAGTTGCTTTGCCCGCGGTGAAAAGACAAGCTAAAATCTGCCATCCCAACTTTAGGAACAAAATCTCGGACTCACGAGTTTGGACTTTCCGTTATATAATTGCCTCAATCTTTTAAGTTGTTTAACCATAACACAAAATAGTTAGAAAACCAAATATTGGTAATTTTAATAAATCGGTAAAACGTTGCTTGCATTGATATTATATATAGCGGCTCGATGTTGCAGAAAAGTATGCACGTAATAAAATACTATGCGGTTGAATAAAAATAATTTTTAGATTAAAAAAAAAAAATAACACGAGATTCAATGGTGAGAGGATGTATTCTTTACTCGGACTAATTTTGCGGCTACCTTTTCATTCAAACTCAAAGGGATTTTTAGTCCCATATTGTCAAACATTTTTCTCAATATATATATATATATATATAAAACCATTTTACTTTCTTAACATTTCTACCCCTCTCATCAATTCTCAATTAACAATCAATCTAACATGTCAATCTACATCCTCTTCCTTACAGCTATTGCTGCACCCATAACCATTGTTTTACTTCTCTTTCTAATCCCCCTTTATCAGGACCTTTCCTACCGCTTTCAGGTCTGGCGTCAAAGATCCCATGTGGGAAGCCCGCCTACCTTTTACTCACTGCCCTTTGGCATCCCGGTTTTTACCCGAATCCTTAAGCGCTTATTAAAAGAAAAAACTCTGATGCCATTTTTTGAAACGCTTTGGCACCATCGCAAGGCTGCAACGTTTAGACAGCAGGTATTTGGCCAATTTGGCATTTGGACTATAGACCCAGAAAACATTAAAACAGTTCTATCCACAAATTTCAAGGATTACTCGTTTGGCAATAGAAATGGGGCATTTGCTCCTCTTCTAGGTGATGGAATCTTTACTCTGGATGGACAAGGCTGGAAACACTCAAGAGCAATGCTCCGACCTCAATTTACAAGACAGCAGATTGCCCAGCTTGACTCCATAGAGCGCAATGTGACTACTCTTATTTCTATCCTCAAGGAATCTCCAGGTCAAGTCAGAGACATCCAGGCTCTATTTTTCCAGTTAACAATTGATACTGCCACTGAGTTTCTTTTTGGAGAAAGCGTACAGACGTTATCAGGTGGGAACCCTAAGATTGTTCATGCACTAGAGTTTGGTAAGGCTTTCAACGCTGCACAAGCCGTTCTTGCCAAACGCATTAGACTTAATTCTTTCTACAATGCACTCAACCCTAGGGAATTCCAAGATTGGTGCAAAACATGTAAGTCTTTCATCGAATCCTATGTTCAGATGACTTTAGATAAACAACAGCAGAATAAGAATAAGAATCAAGATCTGAGCCAGGGTCACTCTTACGTTTTTTTGACTGAGCTTGCCAAGGAAACAAATGACCCAAAGGTACTTCGCGACCAAGCTCTCAACATTTTGCTTGCAGGACGAGACACAACCGCATCTCTTCTTGCTTGGATCTTCTATAACCTAGCCATCCACCCCAAAGTCTTTGCACGCTTGCGTAAGGAGATCCTTGACCAGTTTGGCACATCTCCTTCCACTCTTTCATTTGAATCCCTCAAGCAATGTACATACTTACGCTACGTCATCAACGAAACACTCCGACTTTATCCTCTAGTTCCTGTCAATGGGCGTTGCGCTATTCGTGACACGTACCTGCCACATGGTGGAGTAAATCCCGCTGATCCGGACAACTATATTGGCTCTAAGCCCGTTTTCGTTCCCAAGGGGACGGTTGTTGGGTACTTTGTGTACGTGTTGCATCGCGACCCACATTATTGGGGGGCTGATGCCGACGAATTCCGTCCCGAGCGCTGGGCCAAGCACCGTGAAAATGCGCACCCTTGGGATTACTTGCCTTTCAATGGAGGACCTCGGATCTGCTTGGGCCAGCAGTTTGCGCTGACAGAGGCAGGGTATGTAACAGTAAGACTGTTGCAAGAGTTTAGCGAGATTCGAGGCGGTGACACGCTACCTGTGCCGCCTAAGTTGGAATCCCAGTTGACGATGAGTGTTTATGGCGGGGTCCCCGTGGCTTTGGTTTAGGTATGTGGTGGTAAATTCCTCTTCAACTAACCAATTACGTGCGGCTGCCTGTCCGATTTTGGTGTGCAAGAAGTTGAATATGGACTGTAAGTGTCACTATTCCTATAAAATAGATTAGGACTCAGTTTTTATATGGAAATAAGTTGAGTTAAAAGTAATAAAAAAAAAGATAAAAATAAATAAGACACATGCCAGATTGAGTGAAGCAATATGAATTTCTTCCTTATTTTTTCATTGAAAAATGCAAAAGATTTAATTACTTGTTAGGAGTATATAAATAATATATGTCGGAACCTCACCGGGACCGGGCATTATGAGCCGCACTGGAACATTTGGGTATGTATGTGTGTGTGAAATAGAAGCTGGTAGGGGAAAGGTGCACACCTACCTATAATACCAAATTATAGTTTTATTATTCTTTTTTGTCGCGGCTTCTCCTTCCATACTTGTCAACAAATTTAGCGGCTCAAAAATAATAAAAAATAAAAAATAAAAATAAAAAATAAAAATAAAAAAGAAAAAGAAAAGAAAACTTTGGACAATAGTGGCTGATTTGTATTGGAATCTTTTCATCAACAATTGCAAGAGACCTAAATGGATAGTTTTTTATTATTATCTATATATATAGATAGATAGATGGAAATTTTTATATAAACAACAAATGGGTTCTTTTTAGTTTTAATAACTATAAATCACAATGTCCCTTTCTACTTTCTTTACTTATACAACTCTTGCAGGGCCTTTGATCTTGGCCGCACTCTTCTTCCTAGTTCCTGTTTATCAAGATTTAAAGTACCGTTTCCAGGTATGGTGCCGTAAATCCAATGCACAAGCGCCCGGTTTACCGCCTACAATCTACTCGATTCCCTTTGGGATCCCCTTTTTCATTGACGTGTTACGGTACTCAAAGAAGCAAACACTCATGCCGTTTATTCAAAAAATCTGGCACTCAAAACAAACTGCCACTATTCGGCTGCAAACTATTGGCGAGTTTGATATTTTAACCAGCGACCCGGAAAATATTAAAGCCATACTTGCTGTCGATTTTAAAGATTACAATTTTGGTCATAGACATGGTGCATTCGAACCACTTCTTGGCGATGGCATCTTCACATTGGAGGGCGCTGGATGGAAACATTCAAGGGCAATGTTACGGCCACAGTTCACACGGCAGATGATTGCGCAGCTGGACTCGATTGAGCGACACGTTTTACAACTAATTTCAGTTATCCAGGCTTCTTCAGGGGAGAATGTGGACCTACAAGCATTATTTTTTAAGTTGACAATTGATACAGCCACGGAGTTTCTTTTTGGAGAAAGCGTTCAGACATTATCTGGGGGGAATCCGAAAATCACTTATGCCCGCAATTTTGACTTGGCATTTAACTCTGCACAAGCATTTTTAGCACGACGGTTTAGACTTAATATATTTTATAAATTGGCTGATACCCAACAGTTTCGGGAGTGGTGTACAACGTGCAAATCGTTTACGGATTCGTATGTGCAGTTGGCACTAGAGCGCGCAGATCAGAAGCAGGAAAATGGCGAAAAGGAAAAGGAAAAGGAAAAGGAAAGGGAAAGGGAAAGGGAAAGTTATGTATTTTTGGATGAGTTGGTTAAAGAAACTAGAGATCCTCAGGTCCTCAGAGATCAAGCGTTAAACATTTTACTTGCTGGGAGAGACTCAACGGCATCATTGCTTTCTTGGATTTTCTATAATTTGGCCATATACCCTGCAGTTTTTACCAAGTTGCGCGCTGAGATTCTTACACATTTCGGAACCACTCCTTCTACTTTAAGCTTTGAATCGCTTAAACAGTGCAAATATCTGCGTTACGTTATTGATGAGACCTTGAGGCTGTACCCGATTGTACCTGCTAATGCGCGAGCTGCTGTGCGTGACACATATTTGCCGCGCGGAGGTCTTGGGCCCGACTCTGAAAGTAGTGATCCAGATGCCCGTTATTTTGGAACGCGTCCTGTGTTTATCCCCAAGGGCACGATTCTTGGGTACAGTGTGTATGTGTTGCACCGGGACCCGCATTTCTGGGGGGGGTGATGCGGCAGAGTTTCGACCTGAGCGGTGGGCGGAGCCTCGACCGAATGCACACCAGTGGGATTATTTACCGTTTAACGGTGGTCCACGGATATGTTTGGGCCAGCAATTTGCGTTGAACGAGACGGCGTATGTGGTTGTGAGGTTGTTGCAGACGTTTGGCGAGATTAGGGGGGCCGAAGGGTTGTATGTTCCGGCTAAATCGGAGACACAGCTGACAATGAATGTGTATGGAGGGGTTCCGTTGGCTTTGGTTTAATTTTGAAGTCAGTATTTTGATATTTATGTAAAGGGCAAATTCGAAGATAGTATATTTTCTTCTTTACTACATTTCACAAAAAAAAAAAAAAAAATGGTTCTCTTCTAAGCACCTCTATTATGTTTATATAATACCCCTACCCGGTTCTTTTTTCTCTTTCTTCGAGCTGTATATAAACTGTACATTTTTTAAGGTAACCCCAAAAGAAATTCATTGAAACAGAGCCTAGATGTGAGCGTAGCGAGCCACCATTTTTTGAAAAAAAATGTCAACGCCAAAAATACTAACATCATTCGAATAACAGTTACGAATGGCAGTAGCACAGGTAAATACTTAATTGCAAATTATAGTATCAGGGGTATAACTTGTATTGAATATCTTGAATATATTGTCAGTAGTAAAATGAAATGAAATGAGATGAAATCTCACTGTCAAACATGGTTAAGTGAAGTTACTACAGTGTATGTTTAGATTACTTACCGAGTAACTAAACTTATGAGAAAAGTGACTTTATGACGTTATTGGGCATACTTTGACGTCAGACTTTAAAAAGGAAAAAAAACTAACTACGGCACTTCGACTAAGCCTTTTCCTGCAAGATTTCTTAAGAGGGGCAGGGGAAAGTCGAACTCTTCGATTTAACCTAATGACGCTTGAATGTGATTAAAAGTCATAATATATATATATATATATCAGTTATAAAGGATCAAGAAATACTAAGGGTGTTTGTAAAAAGTACGTGGAAATAAGTCCGGTGTATTTCGGACTGAAAGGCTCTCCATTCTACTATAGTATAGTAGAGGCGCAGAGATCGAAACGGCACTCAGTGAAAAAAAAGAGCATTCTTATAAGACGGAATGATGAATGAATAGAAATAACTTCTATAAAAAGCTTTGAATACAAACAAGTATAAGTCACATTTGACTCTGTGGCTTTTTTTTGAAAAAAAAAAGTTTTTCTTTAATAACATAGAAAAAATAAATAAAAAAAGTGCCGTTGGAAAAAGTCACTCATTGCTTTAACACATGCCGATAAGAAAAAAAAAAAATTCAAAACTGTCAGATGCACAGCAATCTGTCTATTTATGACTTGGGCAAAAAAAAAAAAAAATTAAATAAAAGACCAACATGAATTTGAGTTAAAGACTTTTAAAAAAAAAAAAACGTTCGAGTTCCTCCGCAGTTCGCGGACCAACAATTGACCCGCTATGATCTGTGTTATGGTGGTACATTAAGAAAAAGTTTCTTCGGAGTACCGACAGACAGAAATAAAAGCCCTTTAAGTCTATGCCCGTTTATTACCAATATAAATAAAATGAAATAGAATAAATAAAATAAATACTCAGGCAATAGTCCCTTAATTTCCATTATTTTATTTATTTTACAGTTTTTTCCCCACTTCTTCCCCACTTTACTTACCCATTCATCATTCATCATTCATCATTCATCAACATCAAATGTCTCTTAATATAATTGTCCTGACGGCTCTAGCAGGGCCTCTTCTTATTATTGTTCTTCTAATAGTAATACCACTGTACCAGGATGCAAAGTATAGGTTCCAGGTCTGGCGACAGCGTGGATCTGCATCACCTCCAGGAATCCCCATGACTTCCTACTCGTTTCCATTTGGAATTCCCTTTTTGCTTAACATCATTAAGTTATCTAATGATAAGTCAATTCTATCCTACTTTCTTGTATTGTGGGAAAAACGTAAACGAACCACTGTTCGGCAACAAGTCTTTGGCCAGTTTAACATTGTTACCAACGACCCAGAAAATATCAAATCCGTACTCTCTGTCAACTTTAAGGATTATGAGTTTGGAGTTAGACACGGTGCATTTGCACCGCTTCTTGGTGACGGCATTTTCACGTTAGATGGTGCTGGGTGGAAACACTCGCGTGCCATGTTGCGGCCACAGTTTAGACGGCAACAGATTGCACAGTTGGGATCTATTGAGCGTAATGTGGGGTCCTTGATTTCTATTTTGAAAGCTGCACCGGGGGAAATAGTGGATCTACAAGCATTATTTTTCCAATTAACAATTGATACTGCCACAGAGTTTCTTTTTGGAGAAAGTGTACAAACATTATCTGGGGGGAACCCTAAGATTGCTCATGCAAGGGAATTTGGCGAAGCATTTAACGCGGCACAAGCCGTACTTTTACAGCGGGTTCGACTTAACTCGTTTTACTCGACAGTGAATCCTAAGGAGTTCCAACAATGGTGTGCAACATGCAAAACGTTTACGGATTCCTATGTTCAAATGGCTTTGGGAAGGGCTGCCAAGTTAGAAAAGGAAACTGATTCAGATAACTATGTGTTTTTGGATCAGCTGGTTAAAGAAACCAGAGATCCTCAGGTCCTCAGAGACCAAGCGTTGAATATTTTACTTGCTGGGAGAGATACAACAGCCTCATTGCTTTCTTGGATTTTCTACAATTTGGCCATATACCCAGAAATCTTTGCCAAATTACGTGCTGAGATTCTTGCTCAGTTTGGCGATACCCCAGCCTCCATCACTTTTGAATCGCTCAAGCAGTGCACGTATCTGCGGTATGTTATTAATGAGACTCTTAGGCTATTCCCGATTGTGCCTGGAAATGGACGCACAGCTATCCGTGACACGTATCTCCCCCGTGGAGGAGTTGATCCGGCTAACCCGGACGATTATTTTGGGAGCAGACCCGTGTTTGTACCCAAGGGCACTACAGTGGGGTACAGTGTGTATATGTTGCACCATAACCCGTATTTTTGGGGGATTGATGCGGCTGAGTTTCGACCTGAACGGTGGTCGGAGCCTCGACCCAATGCACACTCGTGGGATTATTTACCGTTTAACGGTGGTCCGCGGATTTGTTTGGGCCAGCAGTTTGCACTGACGGAGGCAGCATATGTTGTGGTGAGGCTGTTGCAGACGTTTGGTGAGATTAGAGGGGCCGAAGGTCTTACAGTGCCTCCGAAACCCGAAACTCAGCTGACAATGAATGTGTATGGAGGGGTTCCGTTAGCGTTGGTTTAATGCTAGTGTTGGTGATTAAAGGAATTTTTTTTTTTTTTTTTTTTTGAGGCTGCTAATGGATGGAAATGGGGCTTTTTTTTTTTTTTTTTTTTTTTTTTTGAAACTACTACTGGGTTTATCTCATGACGTGCCTCAAATGGAAGTGGAGGAAGAAGGGTGGAGGCAATCAGTGTGGAAAGTTTTTTTTTTTTTTTTTTTTTTTTTTGGGAGAAGGTTTGTTTCAAGTTTACAAGTTTACAAGTTTAATATAAATATTTTATTTATTTTTTAAAAAATCATGTTGAAAAATTAATTAATTTTTTTTTTTTTTTTTTAAAATCATATTGAAAAATAAATAAAAAAAAAACATGTTTATTTTCTCATCGATTAATTAACTAATAACTAATAATAATAAAAGCCCCAAAAAATTCAGCTCAACCACTGCCAGAAATTTCCCCCACGTGAAATGAGGCTCACCAAAGACACGGCTGGCGCAACTTCACGGGGTCATTGCCTGGCCCTTCCACTGGGCTATTTTTTTTTTTTTTTGTGTGGACCAAATAAATACATAAATAAATAATTTTATTTATATATATATATATAAAAAAAATAAAAAAAAAAATAAAAATATACCGGCACGGGTTCTTTTGCAAGAATGTCGCAAAAATCCAACAAAAACCTTTAAAGTCCTCAATCTAGAAATATAAATAAAAATATAAATAATACTTAACTTCCTCCTCCCCTCCCCCTCCTTACCTTTCCTTCATTCATATTTCATTAACTTTATATATAATAAACAAATGTCCACTCGAGAATATACATACTCTTTAGATTCAACCGACTCAGCTGCCTTCTCACCAGGCCAGTCGTACTCTTCTGCAACATCCCAGGACGATTCTTTCATCTATTCATCATTATCACCACAAATCCTTCAAAATTATAACCAAAATTATAACCAAAATTATAATCAAACTTATAAACACATGCAACCTCGTAAAAATAGTATCCCAATAGACTTTTCGGCTTGCTCATCTCTAAAACCATTTGCAACAACCTCCTCTTCATCCTTCTCCTCCTCTTCCAGCTTATCCCATTCGGCTCTCCGCAACATTGGCGCTATCAAAATCAAACGCCCCCACACTGATAAATGTGCCCAGAAATACACACTCAAAATGGAGTCCGAGTTCAAAATGTCAATCGGGAACCCAACAGATGGCCCGGAATGTGTTCCAGTCCTTACTGCCCAACCTTCCCTTTCACGCACAAAAGTCCTTGGATTTGACCGAGTCACGGGAGATTTGCGACTGCAAAATGGAGCAACCATTTCAGATTATGTCTTTCATGCAACCATCAACTTGGCTTTCCCACAACAAATCGCCGCATGCCTGGCCCCAATTGTGGCGTACCACGCAGTCGCGCAAGCCACAAAACAACAACAGCTCAAGCATTTGTACAATTGCGACGATCCACACGCATTCATCAAAAACAAGGTCGCCGCCGCAGCTTTCTTTTACGGTGCAGGGAAACTCCTAGCTGCCGTGGCAGACGCTCCACGGCCAGAAGAACAGTCAGCACTTGCACACTTTGGAAGCCTCACAACGTTCCGACTGGGTTCCTGTGGACTCCTCGCTGACGCGTACTCGGTGCTTGACTACTACCGTATGGCCATCCGCGACACTATCCGCATAGAAGCCCTGCACACAACTGTCGTGAGATGGGTTCTATGGGGGCTCATGCTGGATCCCAACGCGCATAAGCTGCAGGCGTTGATGCAACCTTTTTTGCAAGCAGCAGCTACCCCAGATATTTCCCCAGGCCACTTGTACTTGTCATCTGACTGGCGGTTCTACGACCTTCTGCGAGACCAGATTATGATGGTAGCCCAGCGGCTGTTTGATGACCTTGAGGCCAGCCCAGGTGGAGCAAAACACACAGAGCGTATGGCCGCATACATCAACCTGCATGCACCAACAACTGTCGACCTTTCACGACTGCGCGCACAAATCCCAGCTACCCCACATAATGCACGCGTGTATGCACAGCTTGAGACTTTACTCAAGGCAGCCTCGTTATCTACCATAACGCGTACCCACGCCGACTGGTGCCAGGCGTTACGGGCCAAATTCCCTGAGCTGCGGTTGAATGATTTGGCCAAAATCTTAGGAGTGGTACTGGTATACGATCCACGCGTGACACTTTTGTCGATAGCCCAGGAGATGTCTACGGCAACAGCCTTGTATACCGGGTACCGGGCAGGGTTTTTCCCTGCACAGGTGACGACAGAACTGGAATGGAACGAAGAGTCATTTTACTTGGACTCGATGGTATCTTCAAAATGGATAGTTTTTTAAATAAAAAAAATTGAAAAATTGAAAAAATTGTGTTTACGTTAAAAATTTTGCTTCTTGCCGCTCTTTGGTTTCTTGGGCCTTGCGCTGGGCGTAGTACGCAAGCAGTGCAGAGGAGCCCTTTTTAGGACCCCATCGGCGGTAGTACTCAAGGCGCTCGGCATGATCCGAGGGGTGTTCTGTCACATAGTTGTAGCATGCGCGATAGTATTCTATCGAGAGTTTGAATCGGTAGGGGGTATCATTAGTAGTAGTTGGTGGGACCAAAAACTCGTCCTTGGGGGTGTCCCAACCTTCGCCACTGGTTAATTGCACGCCAGCGTCACGTAGAGTTAGAAGAAGCCCTGCCTTATGAGCAGCGCCAATCCCCAGCTCGGAAATTTCATTGCGGGCATTCTCGACACGCCACTCGGCAACCGAGGCCTTACGAATCCCTGTGGGTCCAAACCGGGCTAGGGTTTCAGAGTCCACAGGTCGCGTGCGCAGGGCTCTATGGCGGAATGGGTTTAAAGAAATGGGGTTAAACACGCCCGAGTAGAAAAGTAGGTAGATGAAGGCGACTTTAAGGAAATGCAGGGAAAAGAAAAACCATTGCCAGGACACCGAGTCAAACGCAGATGGCTGAGGAGTTGGGTCTGGGAAAAACTTGTCGAGGAGATTATAGAGAAGCATAGTAGGGGCAAGTCCCGGGGTAGGCGTGAGGTACTGGGGGAAGTCAGTATAGAGCCAGGCACCGAGGAAAGTCATAATCAAAAGAAAGCGGGTGTAGTTATACTGCCAAATGGGGAGGACGAGCTGGCCCTCGTAGATGACATCTCCGAGGAGGGCAGTCGGGTCGAGGGCTGGAGAAAGGATAGCTGCAGCGTTGGGACCGAAGAGGAGGCCACCTTGAGATGTAAGGAAGCCTGGAGCACGGGATGCTGCAAAGGCAATGGGGATGCGGTCGTAGAAGTAGTTTGGGGAGAGTGGGGAGGGGATTGCATGGAAGATGGAGGTTAAGGAGCCCACAGTTTCTGGGAGAGAGCAGGAGGGAGGGTTAGAGTGAAAGGGTTAAGAGGTGGGGATGAGATGGTACAGTACCTGTTGAGTGGACAACAAAGCAGTAATCTTTGGAGTCTTCATCATGAAAGCGTAAATAAAGGTTGATTGTATTGTCTGGTTTGTCCATTAGAAAGAGAGAGAGGATTTTTTTTTTTTTTTTTTTTCTAATAGGAAAATTTTTTTCAAAAGGAAAGTTATATATATTTAAAGAAAGAAAAAAAAAAAAAAAAAAAAAAAAAAAAGGGTTTGAGATGGGATGGGAATGGAGTTTTTCTTTAATTTCTTTTTTTTTTATTTTTAATTATAGTATATGGAAAATGTCAAGACGGGGTGTGGGGGCCCGTATAAAGTAAAGAGTTTAGGCTTTAAATATTAGGTGTTAAGTTTTATGTATTATGTATTATGTATTATGTATTATGTATTATGTATTATGTATTATGTATTATGTATTATGTATTATGTATTATGTATTGTGTATTATGTATTATGTATTATGTATTATGTATTATGTATTATGAAAATAGGTTTAGGGTTGGAGTGAAATATTTTTTTATTTTTTTTTATTAAAAAGAAAAGAAAAAAGTTGAGAATCTGAAAATTTCAAACTTTTAAATAAAAGACAGTGCAAAACAATTGAATTTGAAATAAAAATAAAATAAAAATAAAAATAAATCAATTTGTTAAAAGTCGTATATATATATATATTTATTTATTTTTTAAATGTCTTGCACTGTCTTTTAGAAAAATAAAAATTTAAATCTTGTTTAAACGAGAGAAAAATAAATAAAAAACTAACTGACTAACTGACTAACTGAAAATTTAAATTAAAATTTAACTGCATAAATAAATAAATAAATAAATAAATAAATGAATAAATAAATAAATAAATAAATAAATAAATCAATATCAAAGAAAACAAAAAAACTTTATAACCTTTAAAAGTTATTCAACAAATTCATTCTGCCAATGTTCAGAAATGTACCACTTAAAAATATCTTAAACCTGATTTTTTTTTTAAAATTTGATATAAAAAAAACAAAAAAAAAGGTAGTTTTCTAATACAGATATTTTTATTATTTTTTGTTGCCACTATAAAGATAATAGACGCATTTTTTTAAAATTTTTCACTAAATCAATTCCTCTTGTTTGTTTGTTTGTTTTTATTCAAGGGTTATAGAATTATATAACATCAGCATCTGCGCTATCCTTCTTGTCCATACTATATATTTTTTCATTTTGATAATAAACTTTTAATTTTGGCTTCAACATTGCATCTCCAACAGCCCGAAAATAAGTCCTGATGCCAGCTTACGAGGAACAGGGGGTTAAAATAACCAAACCTTCCCAACCTATCTCCACTTGTCTTCATCAACGCTGTAATTGTATTTCTTAATCCCTCCAAGCAGAGATAAAGCTTACAATCTCTTGTAAGCCAGTTAAACTGTTTAAGAGAGTCGACATGTCCATCTCTGGAGATATCCGTTTCAGTCCTTTTCTTTCCTCTTCAAGCAAAGGACACTCAACTAAAATGTGATGAACTGTTTCCAGCTCTCCACATTTGCAGTTGTAACTATCCTTTTCAATTCCAAACTTTTTAAACCATGCGCCAAAGTTGCCATGGCCTGTGCGAAACTGAGTAATATTACTCAAGATCCTTCGACTATCTTTCTTCATGATCACTCCCGTAACCATTTTGGAAAGATTATCAGTACATTTCGACTCCACTGTGATATTATGACACCACAGATCCTTACTGCTGTTCCAATACATTTCTTGCCATTCTTCCATTGCTTGTTTCTTCAAAATTCCAATCGTCTGATTTTGTTGTTGTTTCAGTGTAAGAGGTTCAACCCTCTTGCATTTTCATTTTTAATCCTTTTTAATCATGTGGTCTCTATCATCTTTCGCAAATCAATTCCTCAGCATTTTGTTACTTTACCGTTTGTATTCCAGTATTGATATTTGGCTCTCGATAGTCACTTTTCTTTAATAATCGAGGTGGTCTCTTGGCCCAGTTGGTTAAGGCATCGTGCTAATAAACAAGCAACTTCCTTGTGATACGCGAGGATCGGCGGTTCGATCCCGCCAGAGACCATAATTCTTTTTTGGAATTATTATCAAAGATATTTTGGTAATAATTCCTCTTTTTTTTGTGTCTTTTAAGCTATTAATAAAGAAAGGGATTTAAATTACTTATATTACTTATTTCTATAATATTTAATCTTTTTTTTTCAATCATAAAAAAAAATTCATAATTGAAGTAATACCTGTTGTTAAAATCTTGGTAATTACGAATCACATTTTGAATGTTGTCAACATTTTTTACCTCGCATCTCGAGTAAAGAAAACTTATTACTATGACGACGATTTTTTTTTTTTTCACTCAATCGATTCGGAAACTTAACAAGTACACATTTAGATTAAAAAAATTTAAATAACCTGATCTTTTCTAAATTAGTTCTTTGGAATTTTAATTTTTTTTTTTTTTTTTTTTCAATTAATATCTAAAAAAATATTTTGTAAAATTGATATCAAAAAGTAAACAACATAAACAAAAAAGACTCTTGAAATATTTCATAGAATTTAAAATGAGTTTATCAAAAAATGAATGAACGCTATCCATTTTGTCCTCTAGTATCAATGTATTTTGTTTGATGAAAAATTTGTAATAATAAAATTTAATTTTTTTTTTTTTTTATTCCAGAAATATACTAAAGGACTACAGTTTCAATTAAGAAAAGTATACTTAAAAAGTTATATTTGCATTATAAGATTACCAGATGATAATTTTTTTTATATATGATAATTCAAAATATTAAACATAATTTAAAACAGATACATGATAACCCCTATTGTAATTTCTTAACTTTTGGTATTCCTATAAAAATTCTGTAAAAAGTTTTTATATTCAATAAAGAAAAAAAAATTCAATATTGAATATACTTTATTTATTTCTTTTTGCTATTATTTTTATATTTATACCTTCATTTTGACCCTTCTTACTCAATCTGTTTTTTTTTTTTTTTTTTTTTTTGAATTCTTATTATCTATAACAGTCTTAAAATTAATCTTGATTGGTAAATAAGATAAACAGTATGTCAATATTGAATTTATTTCCACTTGTATTTTTATAAACTGGTTAACTTTCTTTCTTAATAATTTTTTTGGCCAATCCACAATAATTTTGTAGCATAAAAGGGAATTATTATATAGATGTGTGTTTCAGCACATTCAAGGCCTCTATCAATAAAAAAAAACTTTTTTTTTAAAGAAACCATCATTGGAAATTTTGTTATATTTACTGAAAAAAAATAATTACTAAAAATTGTTGATTAAGTTAAGAACAATCAATTATATTTTTGGAAATATTTATATATACATAGTTAACCCTGTTTAATTAACATTTATTTCTTGTTGTAATTATTATCTTTGTTTTTTCTACCAAGAAAAAAACCTTCCACATCCTTAAATGTATCTGAATATAATAATTCAGTAACATTACACTGTTGGTTAAAAAAAATATATTTTTTGTTTCAAAGTCAAACACTTTTTTATTTCAATCATTACAAGCCGGTTGAAATGTTTAAGTTAATTAGTTGTAGTTTTCCATCTCAACAGTAAAAAGTTTGAAATCATGAGCTAAATTTGTCATGGTCAGTACAAAACTAATTAATGGTGCTAAGGATCCTTTGACTAAATTTTTTCGTAATCAATCCTGTAGCCATTACTCTCAATGTATTTTTTTAAATCCAGTGATTTTATGATACCACTAACCCTTGTTACTTAGTCCTTAAGTTTCTTGTTGTCAATCTTCCATTACTTATTTCTTCAAAGTATTTAAGTAAAAAAAAATAATTAATGTGATTATTTTTTTTTTGGTATTTTCGTGTACACAAACAACTATTTTTTAATTTGCAGTGATAATATTATATGGTACAGTTTTTATTTATTCTGCATAATTTCTAGATTATGGATTTCCTTTTTTCGAAATCATATAAAGCTAAATTTATATTCCATGATACTTAATCTAGTTTTATAATTTAGAAAATTGTTTTTTGATAAAGGATTTTTTATTTCAAATAAGTCAAAATTGTTTGTTTGTTTGTTTGTTTGTATTTATTCAAGGGTTATAGAATTATATAACATCAGAATCTACGCTATCCTTCTTGTCCATACTATATATCTTTTCATTTTCATAATAAACTTTTAATTTTGCCTTCAACATTGCATCTCCAACAGCCCGAAAATAAGTCCTGATGACAGCTTACGAGGAACAGGGGGTTAAAAATAACCAAACCTTCCCAACCTATCTCCACTTGTCTTCATCAACGCTGTAATTGTATTTCTTAATCCCTCCAAGCAGAGATAAAGCTTACAATCTCTTGTAAGCCAGTTAAACTGTTTAAGAAAGTCGACATGTCCATCTCTGGAGATATCCGTTTCAGTCCTTTTCTTTCCTCTTCAAGCAAAGGACACTCAACTAAAATGTGATGAACTGTTTCCAGCTCTCCACATTTGCAGTTGTAACTATCCTTTTCAATTCCAAACTTTTTAAACCATGCGCCAAAGTTGCCATGGCCTGTGCGAAACTGAGTAATATTACTCAAGATCCTTCGACTATCTTTCTTCATGATCACTCCCGTAACCATTTTGGAAAAATTATCAGTACATTTCGACTCCACTGTGATATTATGATACCACAGATCCTTACTGCTGTTCCAATACATTTCTTGCCATTCTTCCATTGCTTGTTTCTTCAAAATTCCAATCGTCTGATTTTGTTGTTGTATCAGTGTAAGAGGTTCAACCCTCTTGCATTTTCGTTTTTCATCCTTTTTAATCATATAGTCTCTATCATCTTTCGCCAACATGTAAAGCGTGGTTAGCTTTGCAATTGGAGATTTCTCAATCAATGTTAACAAATGACCATTAATAGGATTAGTTTTGCTAATATTTAGGTGTAAACGAATAGCTTTTCGTGCCACCATAAATTTTAGCCTAATACTATATGGCATAATACCAGCTTCCTTTTGTAGTACCGCAATAGGAGTTGTACGATAAGCACCAACAATTCTTCTTAAAGCCATGTTCTGCATCACTTCCAACTTGTGGATTTCTCCTTTCAAGATTTTATGATGCCAAATTTCTAAGCCATATTCGACAATTGGTCTCACGCAAGCAATATACAGTGATCTAACTGCAGACCCCCGCATACCTTTTTGCACGCCACCAAGATGCCAAATAGCACCAACAGCTTTTCTTGCTTTATTGATTTTATTCAATATATGAGATGTAAAATCAAGCAGATTGTTCAAAATAATTCCAAGCAATTTAACTTCCTTCTGGGGTTCACGAAGTTCTCCATTAGGTAAAGTAAGTTGCACTTTCTCATCTTTAGGTTTCACATTTTTTGTAAAATGAATGAAACCCAATTTGTCACCCAAATCAATTTTGGTCATTCTTGATTTAGCCCAATTACAACATTTTTCTAATATGTTGCTTAAGCTTTTGGTATTTTCTTCAATTTTACCTTCAACGGTAATAGTCACATCATCAATAAAGCCAAAAGGAGTTCCACCCCATTCTTTAATGGCATGATACATTGGTGTGGAATATATCAAAAAAGTAGTGGTGAAATAGGTGAGCCTTGTGGAATTCCAGTACTAATTTTTTGCACTGATCCTTTTCTTCGGTCCATGAGCATGCTAGTTTCTCTTTCACTTACAAATTGGTACATCCAGTTTATAAGTGCTTTGGGTAGTTTCATATCCTCCATTGTGTCTGCCAATATATTTCTGTTAACATTATCAAAAGCTCCTTGAATATCAATGAGCATAGCTGAAATTTTTTTTTTACTAGTTTCAATTCTTTGGACAAGTTCCAAAACAGCATCAGTAGCACAATAACCTTGTCTTCCCCCATATTGCTCTGGTGGAAGTAAGTGTGTTGTAAGCTTGGTCATTCTTTTTTGTATAATTTTTTCCAGTACTTTAGATGGAATCTTAAGTAAGGAAATTGGTCGGTATGCTCTTGGCTTTGAATAATCAGATTTCTTAGGTTTAGGTATGACAACAATAATGCCATGTCTCCAGGCTTTTGGGTGGTATCCAAACTTCACACAAGCTTGGAGAAGCTTGAAAAACCTTTCCTTAAAGTCTTTATTCAGCCATGCCATCTTTAAAACTTTGCCCGTAATTCCATCATCTACTGGAGCTTTATCATTTGGGGTATCAGTCAATGCTGAGTCAACTTCATCAAACTCTAATTTTGGCCATCGAGAATCGTCATCAATTTCAAACTCTCTATCAAGACCATGATCAATTTCAGGTAGAAGTGCCTTCCATATTTCATGTCTTTCTTATCATCTGTTGTAGTAAGATTTCCGTCTTCTTTTCTATTTGCAATATAATGGTATCATTGCTTTTTGAATTAATGTACTTTAAAATCTTTTAAATGTCATTTCCTTCTAAACTAGACAAATATTTGTTTCATTGATCAGTACTAGCTTTGCGTATACAGTTGTCAAAAGTCTTTTTCTTTTTTTGCTTCATCAATCTTTTTCCTGAGTTTAAAAACCAAAGAAGAATGCATTTAACGGGCTTGGTGTTTTACAGTTGTTCCACCTTTTCCCTCAATTTTTCATTCCTATAGCTCTTGGACTTTCTCATCACCTTAATTTCCTCCATAGACTTTGCCATTACTCTTTTCACAGCCTCTTCGAGAACTTTAGCTTGGTCATCAATTTGGTCAGTTGATTTTAGAGCTTTGTTATGTACATCAAAATCTTTAATGGCAGAGGAAAGCTCCTTGTCAAACTTTTCCCAATATGCATTCTTAATATTCAATCTCTTCACCGAAGTAAAAACTTCATCCCCGTTTTTACTCTGAGACATATAGATGTCCCACTCCACAATTGAGTGATCACTTAGTGTATTTTCATCCACTCCACTAAATGAAATTCTATGAAGTAAGTCCACTGAGCCATAAACCAAATCAATATTGGTTCTATTGTTGTATGTTTTTTGATTTCTTGGAGTAATTAACATCATATCATTTTCATGTAGCCACTCAACAACTTCATCTGCTTCCGTATTCGGACCTGCCCTTGATTCCCATTCCTTGTGATGTAAGTTATAATCACCTGCAATGACAATCTTTGAGTATTGTTCCTTGATCTCCCGTTTGAGAAACTCAAAAACCGGTGGCTCAGGGTATTTCTTGGATGGTTTCGGTTGATTATAGACATTGACAATTGTAATGTCTTTAACCAAAATGGTAACCATATCTCGATTTGTAAACTTTTCAATTTTAGTAGTTAATGCTCGTAAGTCAGAGTTAGACCTAATGTAAGTAATTGCTCTGCATTTATTTTTTTCTTTTCCAGTTTCTGTAAAGATTGGGATCCAATCTTTATGTTTAATGGGCCCATAGTTATTAAAGTAAGGTTCTTGTAATAACAAGATATCAGGTTCTTTTTTATCTAAGATAGTTTCAGTAATAGATTTCGATTTATGACAATTGAGTTGGAATACTTTATAATTCATTGGATGTAATAGAATTGTTTTTGTTTTCTTCCTCATTGGATTCATCTAGTTCTTCAATATTTGTTTCTTTCATCGGTTCATCTTGTGAGTCGTCAGTGGAAACAGGATGGGCCTCATTATCCTTTTTGTCTGATTCATTTTTCAATAATCGTATCTTATTACGCATAGCTTGGAGTTCTTCAGGAGTTTTTTTTTTCCTGCTAATAAAAGGTCTAACTTTAACTTTTGTGTACTGGATAATAAGATTATCAGCACACTTTGCATAGTCTTGGGCATTTCTGAATGAAACCAATGCTGTTTGGGTAAATTGGTTTCTGCTAATGATTTTGGGTTCGGTATTCAAAACAATATGGTAATCATTAAAATTGTAGAGAGTTTCTTTCAAGTCTTCAATCGATGCCGTATTAGGTATTTCCTGAAGTACAGCCTTGTACCAAGAATCTGTGTCAAGCACTGAATAAGTAGGGTCAACTTTAGGGATCCATTGAAGTCAAAATTAATTTTTTAATAAGTTTAGGTATACTTTAGGGTGTCTTAGTGATGCATGGATTGTTAGTTTTTTTATAAGAAGCATTGGCAATCTGGCCGAGTTGGTCTAAGGCGTAGGATTAAGGTTCCTATCTCTTCGGAGGCGAGGGTTCGAATCCCTCGGTTGTCATTAATCTTTTTTTTTTTGTTTTGTTTTAAATTAAACATTGATTTTTTTTTTTTTCTTTTTTTTGTTGATGGATTTTTTTTTTTTTTTTTTTTTTTTCGCCCTCCCCTTTAAAACTTCTTTGTGTGTGTGTGAAAAGTTTGTTTTAAAAATTATTTTGTTATTTGTTAAATAGACTATATATATTTATTATTAATATTAGGTAATTAATTATAAATCATTTTACAATAGTTTTTTTGATTTTTTTTTTTATTTCTTAAAAGATCTCATTCTTGTTTCATCATTGGTTTTTTTTTTTTTTTTTTATTTTTTTTTAGTAATATATACCACCATTCAAGATAAAAAAAAAAAAAAAAAAAAAAAAAAGGGGAGGGGAGGGGAGTCATTTGGTCTTAGCTTTAATCTAAGCTTTTTATTGTTCCCGTGAAATTCAAAAACTGTCATATCTTTTATTTTTTTACTTTACTTTACTTTACTTTACAACATGACTTTTAAAATAATTAAAATAAATAATTTTAATTATAACTATAACTATAACTATATAATATAAATCACATGATTATGAAAGACTTTTTATGTATAAATATCTGGTTGTTTTAGAAATAAATAAATAAAAAAATTAAAAT